GAGCTTGCAGTGCTGCAGCTGCCAGTTTGGAAACTCTGAAGTCCTGTGTGTTTATTTTCATGGAAATAGTAACATCTTTGGAAAATGAAACATTTTAGGGAGCTTTATCCTTAAGTAGCGATATTCTTACAGACTGGAATAGGTTCAGAGTTACAAGAGTAATTAGATGAATGAAAGCGAAGCGGGAGGCACTACATAAAAATGAAGAAACACCTGAGCGCTGCTGCACCAGCACAAATAAGGGATCGATTCCAAGGGAAAAGCTATAATATTTCAAAATAAATTGTCATATGAAAAGGCATTTGTTGCTTAAGGGCAGAAGTGAAAATGAATGAATTTTAAAGTCATTTAAATTTATTAAATCTTGAGACTTTACTAAATGGTATTTGTGAAGTTCTGTGGAAGGATAAATAAAATTAAGCTAGTGGACTTAATGATATTTGTGATTTAGAAATATAAGATAATAGAAATATTGGATATAGAAAACTTTCAGACAATTATTAGAAGGGCTGGGACATTTAAAATTTTTATTATTGGAGACTTCTGGCCAAGATGGAGGCGTAGGTAGACACACTGTGCCTCCTCGCACAACCAAAATAAGGACAGCAACAATTTAGAAACAAGATAACAACCAGATCTGACAGAAAATTGAACTGTATGGAAGTCGGACAACCAAGGAGTTAAAATAGACACATTCATCCAGACCAGCAGGAGGAACGGAGTTGGGCAGCCGGGCAGAGAGAGGTCGCGGCACAAAAAGCGATGGAGCCGGATGCCTAACGCATCCCAGGCACATAAGGCATCTGGAGCACAAGACCACAGCAGGTGGACCCTGGGTGCACAGGCAACTGGCAGACCCAGAAAGGCAGTGACTGTGAAGCCTGGCACTGCTTGCAAGGTGTCTGGCTGTCTGGGCCACATTTGCGCACAGATAAACCAGGTGAAATTGGGCAGAGAGACAGACCGTGTAACCCAGGGTCCCAGCGCCGGGAAATAGAGCCTTGGGGCACTGATAAAAACACTTGTGGGGGGTTGAGGTGCAGGGAGAGACTCCCAGCCTCACAGGAGAATGTGTTGGAGAGATTCACAGGGTCCTAGAACATGCACAGGCCCACCCACACGGGAATCAGCACCAGAAAGGCCCAGATAGCTTGAGGGAAGCGGCAGAAGGGACTGAAATCTGATGGAGAGAGGAGCCAGCGCCATTGTTTCTCCTTGGAACCCGCCCCCACATAAACGTCACAACCCAGCGACTGGGTTGCCCCGCCCTAGAGAACACCTAAGGCTCCACCCCTCATACCTAACAGGCGAGACCAGACCGCCCCCCCCTCCAAAAAAAAAAATGGCTCAAATGGAAGTACAAATGAAAGCCTCAGAGCGAATACTTTTAAGTGACCAAGAGATAGCCAACCTCTCAGAGGCACAGTTCAAAGCACTGGTGATTAGGATGCTTACAGAGTTGGTTGAATTTGGTCGCAAATTAGATGAAAAAATGAAGGCTACGATAGAGAAATGAAGGAAAATGCACAGGGAACCATTAGGGATGGGACAGAAACTGGGACTCAAATCAACAGAGTGAACTAGAAGGAAGAAAGAAACAACCAAACAGAAAAGAATGGAGAAATAAGAATTCAAAACAATGAGGAGAAGCTTAGGGACCTCCAGGACATCTTTAAACATTCCAACATCCAAATTATAGGGGTACCAGAAGGGAAAGAGGAAGAGCAACATGTGGAAAACTTATTTGAACAAATAATAAAGGAGAACTTCCCCAATGTGGCAAAGGAAACAGACTTCCAGGAAGTCCAGGAAGCTCAGAGAGTCCCAAAGAAGCTGGACCCAAGGATGAACACACCAAGGCACATCATAATTACATTAGCCAAGGTAAAAATGAAGGAGAGAATCCTAGAAGCAGCAAGAGATAAGGGGACAGTAACCTACAAAGGAGCTCCCATCAGACTGTCAGCTGATTTCTCAAAAGAGACCTTGCAGGCAAGAAGGGGCTGGAAAGGAGTATTCCAAGTTGTGAAAGGCAAGGACCTACATCCAAGATTGCTCTATCCAGCAAAGCTTTCATTTAGAGTGGAAGGGCAGATAAAGTACTTCTCAGATAAGGTCAAGTTGAAGGAGTTCATCACCACCAAGCCCTTATTTTATGGAATAGTAAAGGGACTTATCTAAGAAAAAGAAGATAAAAACATGTACAGTAAAATGACAGCAAACTCACAACTATTAACAACCACACCTAAAACAAAAACAAACTAAGCAAACAAGTAGAACAGGAACAGAACCACAGAAATGGAGATCACATGGAGGGTTAGCAACAGGGGAGTGGGAGGAGGAGAGAGGGGGAAAAGGTACAGAGAATAAGTAGTATAGATGGTAGGTAGAAAATAGGGCAGGTAAGAATAGTATGGGAAATGTAGAAGCTCAAGAACTTATAAGTATGACACATGGACATGAACTTAAGGGGGGAATGTGGGTGGAAGAGGTGTGCAGGGTGGGGGGGAATGGGACAACTGTTATAGCATAATCAATACAATATATTAAAAAAATTATCATTGTTACTGTTCATTGGGAGTTGAGGACTTAACACCATGGCCAATAGCATGGACATGAAAAGGAATTTCAAAGGCCATCAATTTCAAGGAATTCATTGGAAAAGTTCAAGGCAGCTCCTCACAACAAAAGATCCCAGACAGTGACCTGAAAAGTCTCCAAAGACCACACCAACCACTTATAAACATCAACAAAATTGTGGAAATTATAGAAATTATGAGAGTTGTGGAAATTAATGATTCAATGAACAATTTACAGGAAACTTTATATCACTTGTTAAGAGCTTTGCAATATAGCTTAGATTATTTAGCGATAAAGCAGGAGTGGTAACAGAATATATTTAAAATTTTTAATCCAGGTATTGAGTTACGTATTTATATAACTCTGTTGTTTGTTAAATATTTTCAATAATACCTCTGCATGCCTCATCGAGATTTTGTAAGGATTAAATGAAATTGTCGGTGTAAAGCTCTTAGACAACAGAAAGGAATAAAGCTACTTTAGCTTTTGTATGATGATATTTATGGTTACCCATCTTATCGATAGGGTGAATGACTGTGGACCATGACAATGTGGACTTAGCCAGATTTGGGCCCCAAGGAACGCGCCAGGCCCATGGGTGAACTTTGTCTTTCTCCATTTGAGCTGTCCCTTCTGCTGTGTTGCGTAACCTTTGACAAATTCCATTCCTTTTCCAGGGGCCTCACTAATGCGCTCCCAGCAGTGTTTACTAACAGCTGTAAGCAGTGCTGTCTTCTGGTTTCCTCTGCTTTGTTTGCGTCTGCACTGTGGTCTGCAAGTTTCCTGCCCCAGCTGGAAGTCGCAGGCACACAAATGCCCCAGACAAGTCAGGTCTCCTGAAAAGGCCCCCTCAGTCTTCCCAGGCACAAGGGCTGTGAGGGGCCTAGCCCACCCTCTGCCCAGGCAAGGATGGACGAGATGCTGGTGGGGAAAGTGTCAAAAACAAAACATCCAACTCCCTTAGCAGGGTCATTCCACCAGAGATTCAACTCATGGGGTCCTTTCTCTTCCACTTCTTTAGTGAAAGAAACTGCCACCAGTATCGCAGTAGGAAAATCACCGAAGGAAAATCACCATCAATATCTGCATGCCGTCTTGTTTAGAAAGTACGTAGGTGCCTGAGAAGTAACTTTTACTGTCAGAAAGGAATGAAGGTCTTTTACAAACTGAGGGCTAAATAAGAGGATTTGCTTGCAGACAGTAGTGGCCAGTCAGGGAGGAAGTGGGGGTGTGGGCAGCAGGCTCTGGCTCTGCTCAGAACCCAGTGGGGGTTAGGTATGGGACTGGGAATGCCTGACCACCGTAGGCCGGGACCTAGGGAGCCCGAGCAAGGAGCACCAGGGGCGAGCTGATACTAGAGGTGGGATGATGTCCTAGAAGAACCCTTAGCCTGGCAGGGACCTGGCTTCCCCATGGAGAGGGCACCTGGCCACAGGAATGTGTGAGACCTGCAGGGACAACCCTGGGTGGCAACAAGAATCAATAACCCAAGGGGCCCAGTCACAACTCCCTCTACTGGGGGGGCCTTCAGCACTTCCACTCCCCACTTCAGAGTGGGGACACCGGAATGTGTGGCTTCATCTATGTCCACTTCACAGAGCCAGAAGAATCGTGGATCAGGTAGAAGTGAAACACAACACACTCTGGGGTGTAACTTAGAGACTCTGAGACAGCTGGGGTCCTTGTTAAAATCCAGAGTCCCAGGTTTCATCCCCACTGAGTCTGTAGTGGGGCCTAGGAATCAACATTTAACAAAATTAGGTATTCCTTTTTTTTAATGTATTTTTTAAAGGTTTTATTTATTTACTTTTAGAGAGAGGGGAAGGGAGGGAGAAAGAGAGGGAGAGAAACATCAATGTGTGGTCGCCTCTCATGTGGCCCCCACTGGGGACCTGGCCCACAACCCAGGCATGTGCCCTCACTGGAAATTGAACCAGCGACCCTTTGGTTCACAGCCCACACTCAATCCACTGAGCTACACCAGCCAGGGTGAAAATCCAGTATTTCTGATGCCATGCTTGGGTGTGTCTGCCCCAGACAGTCAATGTTTGTTTCCCAAGACTAAAGCCAACTTCCATGAAGTTCCTTTTGATACGGGTCAAATCCAGAGAGAGATGATCAGGTGGGTTTGTATAAAGACAATAGCACAATCACATTTTTAATGTTCTTTTCCCCACTGTTCAACTTCCCATCCTGAGTTTGCGCAACCGACTGCATCTCTCTCTTCTTAGCAAAAGTCACTGAGGAACACTTAGTCAAGCTTTTGCAGACAGCTGCGTATCTTTAACTTGGTCAAAAAGGAGGAAGTTCTCTAGATAACTCACCACTTTGGAGCCACCACGCCTCCTTGGGCCTCCTCTTCAATTTCATTTGGGAGCATGCGGAGCCATGTGAAGGCACTGGGACATTTCTTCTTCTGTCACATCTGAGGCTCGCATCCCTGCATCTCGAAGCCAAACCACAATGTGGAGAAAAAGGGTTTTTTTGCTCCTTTTCTCTCTTTCAACTCTAAAAGCAGAACCGAATTTTGAGCAAATGGGAAAAACAAACAGTAAGTTTCATTTACTTCTCTCTTGTACTAAAACTGTCTTCAAAAAAACAAAACATTGGATGGTCAGCTTTAAACTCATGGCTCATGAGTAAGTTTTTCTGTGCTTTTAGATGAATGACCAGAGTGAAACGTTTTCCATTACCTGCCACTAAAAATGAAATGATTTTAGGGATGGAGTTGTAGTATCTTTCCTGAGACCCAGAGATAAAATATTGAGATTGGATTTTACAATGAAATGGTTCTTTCACTGTCTTTCTTTTTTTAAAGCAACACACAGTCAGTGTAAAATAATTCAAGCAGCATTAAAAATGTATATTAGGAGGCAATTTATCATCACAAAGCTGGATTAACCACAATTGTGGTCCTAAGCCCGGTGGCCTGGGTACATGAGATAAATTTGTTTCCTCTGTGAATTGGGGGTAATACAAGCACCTACCTGAGAGGGCTGTTGTGAGGACTGAGTGGGATAAGCCACAGGCCTGAGCACAGTGTCTGGTACGGGTGAGCCGCCAAGAAATGCTAGCCCAAGCTGTTGTCAGTGTATAAATGTGAAGTTCTGTTACCTCCCTCCAAGCTCTCTCCCTGCTCCACTTCCAGATGCTAGAGCTATTGAGTCATTTTCCCGTCAATATCAGAGTAAACAAATTCTTCTGTGACTTGTCCTGTTTTTGTTTACAATAAACCACAGACATCTTTTTAAGGACTAAATGCATATTTAGCTCTTTTTCTCCTCCAACAGCAGCACGACATTTCATAATAAGACTCAGCCATAATTCATTTCACCACCCCCTTATTGAGTCCCCCCCTTTTCTTGGTAATATAAACAATGCCGCAGTAAATATCCCTGTACAAAATACCCTCTGTGGACACATAAGAGTGTGAGAGCATCTCTGTAGGATGAGATCCTAGAAGTGAAGTCGCTGAGTCAAAGGGCAGGGCCGTTTAAATTGTTCCACAGCTCCTCCCAACGCACTGAATCTGGTCATAGTCTCTAGCAGCGACCTCTCACGTGGGAGCGCGTTTCCCCACCCCCTCTCTAAAGTTTTTTAATTTGTGCCAATCTGATGAGTAAAAAATAATATCGTAATTTGCAGCTGCCTCATCACTCGTGCAGTTGAGCATCTTTTTCATGTTTATTGACTATGGACGCTCCCGCCTTCCCATATAAAGGAGATTGAAGAATGGCCACCTGGTTGGGAAAGAAAGGTGACGTCTTGTCTTGAAGCTGAGCTCACAGAAGACTGAGAAAATGTTAATTCTCCAAATCCAGGACTGGAGGGAGGCTGATGGCACTTATGAGGGGTCTAAGCGCCTCCCTCCTCCACCCAAGCCTTCTCTCGGCCCCAGCACTATTTAATGGCCTTCTGCATGTCTTTTTCTAGAAATCACTCATTTATATTATTTGCCCATTTATTTGATTGTGTATATATTTTTCTTACTGATTTGCTGATTTTATATATATATATATATATATATGATGCTTTGCTTTCATTTGTGGCTTAAGTAGCATTTTCTTCTAGGCTATCTACCACTTGTCTTAAATTTGCCATAGAGAAGTTTTCAGGGTAGTCAATTTCTTCAGTCTTTTCTCTATGGGTACTCTTTTCTGTGTTTTATTAGGGAGACCTTTTCCTAGCAAGTGATATAAAAACATTTCCCTATATTCCTCTAAATTCTTTTATAATCTTATTTCTCAAATGAAATTTCCTGGTAAGGGCTATTTCCCACCCCCACCCCCTTGGCATTTTTGAATAATAAAATACAAACATACAAGCTATCGAAGACTATTGGAATCATGTCAAAAGGGCTCAGGGGCCAGTTTGGAGATGCTTCCCATGGCCAAAAAATGGGACAATAGGAATAATAACCTCAATGGATTGAAACACATTACATATATTTAAAACTGAGTTCATATGATTCTTAAACAAAAAAATAACAATAAAAAAAGTGTCTCAGTGTTAGAAGATGCTAGGAAACCAAGTCATTATTTTCAAAACTGGTCAATAAACAGAGAAAGCTAAGCATATATCCTGCTTTTTCTGGGCAAACTATAGTATGACCAAAGAGTGGAGAAGGCAAGTTTCTCTTCAGATAATTTCAGATAATAAATGAAGAAAGAATAATAGAATTGGCATGTTATCATTTTGTCACCTCTAGCGAAATAATGCTTCAAGTGGCTATTGTCCAAGCCCACTACTTAACAAAAAGAGAGATCGTCGGACACCAGGCACATCCTCACAGAAGCACACACCAGCCCCTCTGATGCATTCTTACTACATGAAAGCTAACCTGGATTTCATCAAGCCTCTGGACGGGGGACAGAGGAACATGGTAGAGGATGCCTCAGGAATGTGACCTACAAAATCCAGGCCATAGGGAACATTATAGAACAAACCATTTGCTATCTTCAGCAAATAAATTGCCAGGGGTTGGGGATGAGAAATGGAAAGGTCTTCTCATTTAAAAATGCATACGAAACATATCAGCTAATTACAATGGATCATTTTGAACACTAAAAAAAAAGAAAGAAAGAAAGAAAGAAAGAAAGAATCAGACAACTGGGGAAATTTGAATGCTAACTAGATATCTGATGACATTTAAAATACATTGTTAATTTTTATGTGCAGTAATGGTCATTGTTATGTTTACAAAGGAGTCCTTATCTTCTAGAAATACAATGTCCTCCAGCCAAAAGTCACCAGGGACACACATGTGCCTGAACAAAGCTGGGCTGGGGAGAAAATGTCCACCGTGGAAATCACGTGATATCTTGGCGAGAAAGGTGTTAGGAAGGTCCTGTGATGAGATTGGATCTGTGCTAGGTGATTTGGAGGAAGATTCAAAGCAGCAGGCTCTTCTCTGGATCGGATCCTTCTAGGGAGTGGAAATAACGATATGATTGGGTATCTTAATCATTGTCATCTAAAAGGCAAAAACAGAGCAAGGCAAAAGCTGTGACCGACAAAGCAGCAGCAGTCACTCTTACTAATCAAGTTAGGGGGATGTTTGGCCATTTTTGTGCTTCAGACAATGTCCACGTCTTTGTGTGTGTCCAGGCACGAATATGGTGTCATCTTGTTTTTGTCTTGATCCAACACGGTCACCGAGTGGCCTTGTCAGTGCTGGTATTCCAGCTGCGAGTGACAGGGCAGGTCCAAAGGGTCAGGGGCTGCTTTTCTCTCTCTCCACACTGCATTTATGGATGAAATAGCGTGTGGTCTGGGGTTTGCACTAAAATAGTGGAGGGGGGGTGATACAACAGGACAGACTGTGAGTTGATCATTGTTGAAGCCGGGCAATAGGATCATTGGGGATCATTATACTCTCTTCTCTACTATTATTTTGAAAGTTATGATTTTCCAAAATAAGAAATTTAAACTAAATAATGGACAAAACAAGCTACCAGACACAACATTTTTTCTTAGAACCTGGAACTTTAATATTTCTATGTCAGCAGAGACAGTCTTTAGAAAGTCCACTTTGGGTGTTTAACTGGCCAAAGAGATAGCAAGTACAGAGCTTCTCAAGGCCATGATCTCTCTTTGTGGGGGACCACTGTAGGCCTTGAGGCTTCATCACACTCTGGTCAGCCTCGCTGTATAGGCAAGGAACACCCCCTTGGGAAAGTTCACCGAGAACAGCGTGTCTACCACCTTGACCCACAAAATGTGGCCAGGTGACTGCTGAGTTATTATCAAGGAACATTAACAAGAACTGTCTCTTGTGTGATTTTTGTGTTTTCCAGAACTTACCTCTCCAATTTTGAACTCAGAGACGAACATAGTCACGAAGGGTCAAAATGTATCTATAATTTGTTCCAGCCAGAGCAAATTATCGCCAATCACCTATTCTCTTTTTCGGGATCAAAATTGCATCGGAACACAGGACAGCAAAGGTGAACACGTGACTTTTAACCTGAGCATCTCAGAAGCCAGCGATTTGGGGCCTTACAAATGTAAAACGCAAGTTCCCAGCTGTAAAGAACACAACTGTACAAGATACAGTCATGAGTTCAGCTTCATGTTTGTCGGTGAGTCGAGCGTGTGATCCTCGGGCCCTGCGATCTGTAGGGCTCCTTTCCACTTTCCAGCAGGCTCTCTGTCCCCTTGTCAGCACTCACTCTAGAGCAGGGGTGTCAGACTCATTTTCACTGGGCGCCACATCAGCCTCACGGTTGCCTTCAAAGGGCCAAATGTGATTTTAGGACTCTATAAATGTAACTACTCCTTAACCGGGGGTGAGCAGCTTGGCGCTGCCGCTGGGTAGAAACAAGGTGCTGGGCCAGATAAAACAAGGTGGGGGGCCGGATTCGGCCAGCGGGCCTTGTGTTTGCCACCTGTGCTCTAGAGCCTAGGGAGGACATCACTGAGACCCTTATTCTTAGTAATTCCATTCCACTTTCTCCTCTGAAGACTTTTGCCTGAGACAAAAGCACGTTTCACTTCCTCACACACTTCCTGCTCTTTATGCTTGTTTCTTTTCCCCTTTATATTATCTCCCATTTTGCTAGATGGTCTTTCTAGTTCCTCTCTATTATTCCCGCATCACACTTTCCCTCTGCAGTTAGTGGGTTCCTGCATCTCACGTCAGTGCCCCTGAGCATTGGAGAAGGATGGAAGAGCCTCGGAGAGCACGGGAGGCGACGGAGATGACGGCAAGAGGATTAAGTTTATTGTCCCCCTTTCCCAAAATGCAGCAGAAACTGGAGGTTAGATCATTCGGAAAGAGAATTCAGCATTTTCCAAACTGCTTGTGAGAGTGTCTTGGTGGCTCGACCTGACTCAGTACTTTTGAGGAGAGGAAAAATGAATTTGTATTTTTAGTAAATATTTCCCATGACTCTAATAAACCAAATACGGGAACCGAACTTAAACCCTCTTTAAATAAGGTCCCCAAGTGGGACCCATTAGCTCAGCTGTAGAATTACTAAATATTTTTAGTATTGACACATCCAAAAAAAGCCCACTTTATATAAAGCGCTTATTTTTTTTCTATCATGTGAAAGTTGAAAGTTGCACAAAAGTGGCGAGAATGGTGTGAAGGTTCCGGTGTACCTCACCCAGCCTCCCCAGTTATCAGCCTGTGGCTAAGTATGGACGTGCCTTTGAAAGAGGACAGAGGTGTTCCTAACTAGTAAAGGCAGGAATTAAAAATACAAGTGCCTGGGCCTGCTTTGTGTGTAATGCTCAAAATCTGGAAACAACCAGATGTCCATCAACAGGTGAATGTAGCAACAAATGACGGGAGATCTGTTCAGTGGGATACTACTCAGCAATAAAAAAGAACCAGCTGTAAAGAACACCCCCTTGGGAAAGTTCACCGAGAACAGCGTGTCCACCACCTTGACCTACAAAATGTGGCCAGGTGACTGCTGAGTTATTATCAAGGAACATTAACAAGAACTGTCTCTTGTGTGATTTTTGTGTTTTCCAGAACTCACCTCTCCAATTTTGAACTCAGAGACGAACATAGTCATGAAGGGTCAAAATGTATCTATAATTTGTTCCAGCCAGAGCAAATTATTGCCAATCACCTATTCTCTTTTTCGGAATAAAAATTGCATCGGAACACAGGACAGCAAAGGTGAACACGTGACTTTTAACCTGAGCATCTCAGAAGCCAGCGATTTGGGGCCTTACAAATGTAAAACGCAAGTTCCCAGCTGTAAAGAACACAACTGTACAAGATACAGTCATGAGTTCAGCTTCATGTTTGTCGGTGAGTCGAGCGTGTGATCCTCGGGCCCTGCGATCTGTAGGGCTCCTTTCCACTTTCCAGCAGGCTCTCTGTCCCCTTGTCAGCACTCACTCTAGAGCAGGGGTGTCAGACTCATTTTCACCGGGCGCCACATCAGCCTCACGGTTGCCTTCAAAGGGCCAAATGTGATTTTAGGACTCTATAAATGTAACTACTCCTTAACCGGGGGTGAGCAGCTTGGCGCTGCCGCTGGGTAGAAACAAGGTGCTGGGCCAGATAAAACAAGGTGGGGGGCCGGATTCGGCCAGCGGGCCTTGTGTTTGCCACCTGTGCTCTAGAGCCTAGGGAGGACATCACTGAGACCCTTACTCTTAGTAATTCCATTCCACTTTCTCCTCTGAAGACTTTTGCCTGAGACAAAACATATCAACCAATGTATCCTCTACCAAACATTTCCAACAATTTAGAAAATTGTTGAAATCTTTTCTAGATGCTTTACTCTAGGATTCCCATGAAGTAGGCAAAAATGACTTTTTCTCTGAAGATTCGAGTGAGAAGTCTTAGAATCAGTGTTGGACCTTGTGGCATGGGTCTTCAAAGCCGCAGGCTTGGCCTGCCTCTTCCCCTTGCAGCAACCCCTACCAGGTGCCCCATCAGCCAGTGGTCTTCCCACCCAACCACATTGTATCACTTCTGTGTTTTTCTCTCTCACCTTCTCACCCTAAGCCTCTCATAACATAGTGTTAATGGGCTCTTCTATGACGTGACCTTGATCATGAGCTCCTGGAAGAGGGGGAGAGGGTTTCCAGGTAATACATGTACAGTATACCTGGAGTCTTCTAAACAAAAGTGCCCCGCCTTACTGATCAAATCTTTTTTTAAGATTGTATTTATTTATTTTTAGAGAGGGGAAGGGAGGGAAAAAGAGAGGGAGAGAAACAACAATGTGTGGTTGCGTCTCACACACCCCCTGCTGGGGACCTGGCCTGCAACCCAGGCATGTGCCCTGACCAGGAATCAAACTGGCCACCCTTTGGTTAGCAAACTGGCACTCAATCCACCAGCGAGGAGGGCACTGATCAGATCTTTGAGCAAGTCTCTAGGTCTATGTTCTCTAGTATGGGAGCCACTAGCCATGTGTGGCTATTTTAATTTGAATTCAAATTAATTAAAATTAGAATAAAAATTCAGTTCCTTAGTCTCATTAGTCAAATTTCAAGGGTTCAGTAGCCACAGGTGCTGGTGGCTGTTGTACTAGATGACACAGACAGAGACCATTCCCATCATTACAGAGAGTTCTGTCAGACTCCTCTGCTCGCGGTCAGTGCCTTTCAGCTTTTCAGGTTATAACCATGTTAACAATATCATGATAGAGAGGGACAATTTTCCCGAGACGTGCTCACGTGACTGCAGGTGCAAATTTCTGCACAAGGCTTTAGGGGATGCCATGGGCTCTGGGTTAGAAACAACGATCTCGGGACAGTTTTGAACACAAACTGAATAGGAGCCAGAATTATAAAATAAACGTGAAGAAGGGGGAAACCCCTGGGAACAATGGTGCTGGGATGCATGGGTAATGGGAGGGCAGTACCCTGGCTGATAATCTTCTCTAATTATCAGGCTCCTGCTTGACTGGGCAGCCTGGTAATGTTTCCACCACTTTCTGAAAAGAAATGTTCCTATGAAAACCTTTCGTAAGCCAAAATGACATAAAGCAAAGCAGCAATTCCCTTTTCTTTATATGGAAAAATGTTTTCGTGTTTCCAGACCCCCCAAAATAACCTACTAAATCATACCAAATACACTTCATTACGTCCCGGTGTACACTAAGCACACCTTTACGAGCTCTCTTAGGCTTTCCTGACACCTTAAGGCACATCCTGCTAATGGATGCACAAAGTAAATCGAGATGGAGCACCCCCGCTCAGACACAGTTCAGAGCTCTGGCGCTTGAGGCTGAGCTGCTGAGCAGGGTTCCGGGGAAGGAGCTGGGCGGGGCCCGTCTCGCGGCTGGGAGCTCGTGAAGCCTCTATAACAGCTCGTTGCAAAACCAATGCTGAACACTGTTCTTGCTTTTCGCCACCCCCCCTGCTTTTTTTTGTAAAAGCAAAAGTCCTCAAAAAACAGGAACTAGTGTAAGTCTTTCACAAAAGCAAAGAGACATAAAGCAAGGGATACCTATGTTGCAGAAAGAGCCGTGAAAGGGACGTCGGGGAACCTGTGTACCACAACTTCCTGAGCAACTTTGGGGATTCCCTGGGGATATACCTTAGATATATCTGCGGTCCTCAATTATGAAAACGTGAGTTGAGAAGATAGGCAGTATGACCCTAACACTGTTTGGTTCGACTCTGGGTGAGAATCTCAGTCCACAGTGGGCAGAAGGGGGTGAGGAGGGTAGGCACTTACTTGGCAGGGAAAGCATCTAATTGCCCATCAAATCACCTAGATTCAGTGTGAGAAGACATGGCAAGACCCACCACTGGTGTGGGTTTCCTCCCTTTGAATTACGGGGGCCTACACTCCTGCAGTGAATATGCTCATTCTTAGCTGATTTATAAACCTGATGGCTGACACCTTAAATAAGCTGCTTAAAAAACCCCAAGCCTTCATGTCCCAACTTTCTGACCCACAGATATGTATAAAATCTTCCCACATCCTGCTTTCCAAGTAAATGCACAAGTTTCCTGCCATTTGTTACAGTAACCATAGAGCTGTTTTGATAGATTATAAAACTGTATTATTTTCATTTAGGTCAGATTAATAGATAATCTAATGAGTGCCTCCCCTGTGCATGTAACTGCGTTACGTGCTGCCGGGGTTTTGATGTTGCCTAAGATGTCGTCTTCTCCCCAACCCAGCCAGGGAGATGAGTCACGAACACAAGTTTAGTAACCACTGATGCCTTCGTCAAATATTTAATGATATCCCAGATGTGCCAACCCCTGCCTATACTTCAGTTCCTGCCTTAGTGGAGCTTACAGTCTGGCTGGCGAGACACAAAACCAGAGTACTCAAACAAATACAACTCATAATCACAAGCTGTGTGGATTGTTCAAAAGACAAAGAAACCAACAAGGTGATGGGAGAGAAGCAGGGGGGTAGTGGAGGGAGCTACTCAGGGTAGTTAGGGAAGGTCTTTCAAAGGAGATTCCATTTAAGTGGAGCCCTGAAGGATGGGGAGTTAGCTATGTGAAGAGACAGGGCAAGAGAAGCTCTAGTTAAGGGACAATAGCCTGTGCAGGGGCTCCAACTTGGGAAAGAACTTGGCTGGTTGAGAAGGCCAGTTTGGCCAGAGGTCAGATGAGGGCGTGCGACTCCAGGTGACAGTGGAGAGGGAGGGGGCCAAGTCAGGCAAGGCCTAAGACCCAACGTTATCATCGTGGAAGTTAATTCAGTCTAGGTGGGTCAGGGCCAGGGTGGGTCATTTGGGGATTAGTTAGGAAATTCCTGGAGTCACCCAGGAGACAGTGGTGGGGGCAGACAGTGGTGGGGATGGACAGCGGCGGAGGACGAAACAACAGGACTTGCTAGATGGTTACATTTGGAACCACAGGTAGCAAAGGTAAGGAAGGAATTGAAAATGACTTCTAGATATCTAATGGGATCACCTCCTGAGGAATAGTGCCTTTTACTGAGATGGGCAACAATGCAAGAGCAGAGACATGGGGAACTGCTGAGTGGGTATAAAGTTTGGTTATGCTAGATGAGTGAGTCATAGACCTTCTGCTGTGCGACATTGTGCCTGTCGTTAGCAATACTGTATTGTGCACTTAAAAATTTGTTAAGAAGGTACATCTCATGTTAACTGTTCTTACTGCAACAGGACGAATGAATGCATGAAGAAATAATTACATTTCCTGAGAGAACAGGATTTTAAAATATGTTTATCTACCTACTGGTTGACTCACTAGCCATTTGGATATACCAGCAGGTTCCCTAGATTTCAGTTCCAGACAGGCTACTTTGGAGGTGACCATGAGACATCCAAGTGGACCATGTAAGGAGAGGTAGAAAAATTCATATAAAACAATAGAGGGGGGAGACGAGGGCTGGAGGAGGCAGAGTGGGAGGGAACAATCTGTCTAGAGGACTTATGAAAGGTCCTATAAGGAAGGCGGCAGCTGAATGAGCCTTAAAGGACTCCTTGAAATTCAAAAAATATAAGGAGTTTATTGAAGAGGAGCAACTCCCTCACCCTGCTGACTGGGTTGCTGTAATGCCCTTGACTAGTCCCGAACAAACTCTCTGGAAAGGTTCCATCTTCCCAGTCCCCTTAATATCAATCTCTGGTCCAGCGTGAAGCGTCCCATCTCGGAGAGGAGTCTGTGCTCTCTCATTCCTCATAAAGGTTTTCTCCGTCCTGCAGACTAAGAGGGGTAGGTTTCTGTTCCAAAGGAAGAGCGTCCTATTGGTGCTATTCCCAAACAAAGCTGCCTTTCGAGACCACTGTCACCCGATGCCGCTCTGTCGAAGATGCCACCACAGGGACTCCTGCTCAGATAAGGGGTGGAGCAAGGAGACTCTAAAATTATTTTCTTTGACTTACTTATACTTTGGTCCCTGTATTTCATTGGTTCTGTGCCAAACTGATGTTGTAAAAAAAAAAAATCTACTTGGAAGTTGGCCTTGGCCATATTAGCAGTGTGTCCTTGGGGAAGTTTCGGAACTTCTCTGAGTCACAGTTGGAAGGGGTGTGACACTGTCCATGCTGTAGTACTATGACTATTGTGGAGGGGAATGAGATAATGTGGGTATGAGCCTGGCCCATGATGAATATTCACCTGTCCTTCGTTTCCTATAATACTGTTTGATTAATGAATTATATTATAAACCATACATCTGGATTCTCCCATAAATAGGGTATAAACTGACAGACTCACCCATTTCCTGTTGAGAAGTTTCTTTAAACCTGTTTATCAGGGTTACTTCCCACTTTGGGGAGGAAGTTACAGCTGAATCCTATAAATGGAAATACAGTTAGAAAAGATGATATTTTAAGATGTGATTTTAAAACAAACCCCACAAAAACAGCCCTGCTGTAACCTTATACGGATTGGGAATAAAGCACCTCTCAACTTCATACTTGGAACTGGATCTTTCACAAAATTCTACTCATTATCAATAATAAAGAGATTATGGATTCTGATTAAAAGAATGTCCAATGAAAGTCAAGTTTTCACTCTGATTCCTCAAAGCAGAGAGACACCCTCCACTCTCTGGCTTTCTCAGCACCTGGGTCGTGCCGCCCTGCCTGGGGTTAGTCACATGCTCATCGGCCTTTCCCGCTGGACTTCTCAGGAAGGGTGTCCCTCCCCTTTGGGTCCACGTGGAGGAGTAGAGTAGGGGTGCGATCCATGCTTGCGGACTGAGCGAGTGAACCCATCTGTCCATCCCTGTATAACACGCACTTCCATTTTTCTAGACCCAGTGACCACTCCAGTGCTGAACATTACGAGAATAGCCAGCCATTATGTAACGCTACACTGCATCTCGTCCAACGGCTCCCTGCCCATCAATTACACTTTCTTTGAAAACAACATCACCATATCACGAGTTATTATCAAGAATGTAAGGGAGCCTGCTGAATTTAACCTAACCAAGAACCGTGTAGGAGTGGAGAAGTACAAGTGTAAAGCTGAAAACAGACTGCCTCGCCATGTGAAATACAGTCATCCCATCACCATAACCTCAAAAGGTAAGGGCTGCCTGAGCTCTTCCAACAGGGTCTGGGTTTGCTTCCAGAAACTTCTGCCTATCCACTTCCCACTTTGGCCACCTGCTCCCAAGTGCCTTTCCTTTGGTAGGGTCCACACAAGCTGTGATGGGACTGCTTTCTGCCATGGAAACAAGACAAACAAAAAAAAACAGAGAAAAGCCTGCCTTGGCCTTCCTCTGCTGGGGGTGCTGCATCTCTTGGAGCTGTCAGGCCTCTTCTCTTTTGCTTTTTTGTCAGTTTCTAACACCTACTGTTGAGCCACCGCTAACAGTTGGTGGATGGAGACGTTCAGTGCCACCCTGACGCTGGGGCAGAGGGGTGCCCAGCCCTTCCCTGTGTTTCGGAGGGCACTGCTCTGGTGCTTCTTGGCTGTGCGCATTCTCACAGCCTGAGGAGTCCAGGGGGCCATGCTCACCTGGCCCTAGTGTCCCCACTTTTCTAACTGCACTCTGGGTTCCTGGCCCCAATCTGCCCACCCAATCAGATCAGGACCCACCCAATAGGGCCCACACACATCTCTATCCCAGCTTATCCTCCCCCACAGGTGGACCGCAGTGAGGATGCGAGCATTCCTGGACCCAAGCTAAGGGAGCTGCTTGTGGGGGTGTGAATGGCATTTGGACATGCAGGCTGGGGGTCCACATGCATGCAAGGCCCCTTAAGGTGCAGGTCAGAGCCTGGGTGGGAAGGGGGCCAGGCCAGAGCTGGGGCTGACTCTCCCCAGTGCTGCTGCATTCTGGTGCAGAACTCCAAGGAGTCAGAATTCTAGGTTCAAACCTGGCCTTCCAGTTCCTTCTGAAGGGATATTGGTTGAGGTAGAAGAAGGGTAGGACAAAGGTGAGGTTAGCACAGGCAGTAGGTATGCTTAGGCATCAAACACTTCACCAGGCCTCATCGTCAGAAACACAGAGCCCACACCCTGGCATTACGTCCTAACAAGTGAGGCAGTCTGTGGGAATCAGGCCCCAGAATCAGGCTTTTGCCCACAAATCACAGCCCTTCCATTTACTGGCTGTGTGACCTCAAGAAAGCCGCTTAACCTCTCTGAGCCTTACTCTACTCATTGGTAAAATGGGAGTGATCCTAAAAGATAAATAAGGCCCTGGCTGGTGTAGCTCAGTGGATTGAGCGCGGGCTGGGAACCAAAGTGTCCCAGGTTCGATTCCCAGCCAGGGTACATTCCTGGGTTGCAGGCCCTAACTCCCAGCAACCGCACATTGATGTTTCTCTCTCTCTCTCTCTCTCTATCTCCCTCCCTTCCCTCTCTAAAAATAAATAAATAAAATCTTTAAAAAAAAAAAAAGATAAATAAGGCAATGCATGTGAAGTGCTTAACACAGTGTTTGGCAGGTAGTTAACACTTAATATGTGGTAGCCATTTGGCCAACATGACTAAGGGCTTTTACCCAGTAAATGGCCATGCCATCATGACCTTAACAGTGTGACCACTAATCGGCCTGTTAAACACTGTGCTACTTTTCTCTTCCTTGTGTGACCCCTGTGGAAGGTGCACTTGGCCATGACTTTAAGAACTTCGCTGACTAACAAGGAAACCCTCGAGAGTTGCGGGTATCCACCGCAGTTCAGGGATCAGGGTGCCCAGTACATGGGGTAACTTGGGAGACGGCTGTAACTGCCCTTCCAGAACACGTCCCAGCTCGGGTCATTGAGGAGGAAAGCTCTGTGGTGACCAGTGAGTGCTGTCTTCTTCCAGGAGAGGGGAGCTGTCCATTCTGCCTGCAGCTACTGCTTCCCGTGTCATTACTGGTACTCTTCGTGACAATCCTAATTCTGGCATTTTGGACACTGTCAAAGTACAAAGCAAGTAAGTTCTTTAGGAGCTCTTCCATTGTTTTCCATGGGTTTAGGATGTAGGTAGCTGGGGAGAGGAGGAGGAGGAAGGGAAAGGAAAATCAGAAATGGATATGAAGAAATGAAAAAGAAGAAAAAGCTGCTACAGGGGAAGGTAAAAGACAGACTTGCTATCTCTCCGGTGAGAGCTTTTCTTACCCAGTGTGGTGGTGGTGGTGGTGGGGGGCCTGTGCTGTCACACGGGGACTGGCCTAAGAAGGGCCCCCCCGCTAAGAAGGGCCCTGCGCTTGATTTAATGCTCTGCTGCTGACCCTGCCTTGAAATTCTCCTTCTTTTTTTTTTTAATCTGCATCTGAAGACAGGCTTATTGATTTTAGAGAGAGGGAGAGAAACATCGGTGTGAAAGAGAAATATCAGTTGGTTGCCTCTCACAAGCACCCAGACCGGAGACTGAACCTGTACCCTATGCACGTGCCCTGAACAGGGATCAGACCCACGACCCTTTGGTTTACAGGGCTATGCTCTAACCAACAGAGCTACGTTGGCCAGGGCTTGAAAGTCTTGATATATATATTTTTTACTTTTTAAAATTACTTTTAAATTGTGATAAATACACACAACAATAAACTGTACCATTTTAACCACCGTGAAGGACACAGTTCGTTGGCATCAATATTCTCACTGTTGTGCAAGCATCACCGCCACCCCCTGGTCTTGTCCAACGGAAACTCTGTCCCCATCACACCCTAACTCCCCTGTCATTTCCCCTTTCCCCCGAGCCTGGGCCTCTGCCATTCTGCTTCTGTCTCTGTGACTTTGACGACTCCAGAGATGGCCCCACAGAAATGGAATCGTACAGAATTTGTCTGTTGGTAACTGGCCTGTGTCACTTAGCACAACGTCCTCAAGGCTCATCCATGTGCATGTGTCAGAATTTCCTTCTCTTTTAAAATCTGAAGACTATTTCATTATATATAGATAGATGGAATGAAAATGTGTCTCTGGCCATCGAAAGCGTGATCAGATAGGTGAAGGATGCCACTTGCAGAGCCGGGAAAATCGATCAGGAGGGCTTGGGCTCAGAGAAGCGGGGCTGTGGACTTCTCGATGAGTCCATGGTTTTCCCCTTGGAGTAGGTCATTCTTTGTTTTGCACCTTTGGGGAAGTCTGCTCCTTGGAAGAGGAGATTAGAAAAATGTGGCTGAATTGGTTTAATTTCATTAATTCTGCACCAATTTATGTAGGAAAAGCTCGGAGAGATAAGGCACCCAAAGACTATGGCAACATACCCATGGAAGTTGGACTATATGCAAATGTCTGTGAAAATCCAGGAGGTAAGAGAACTGTGGTGGATATTTCCATTGGTGTGGTTGGTTTCAGGTTTTCATCTTTCTTTAAGGTTGTACAGACATACGGGCTCAATGTCTCCTTCGCAGCCCTGATGCCCACCCCCACTTTCCAGGGACTACAGCTAGTCTTTAAACACCGTTCCACAGAGGCTGTGCATACGCTGCTGTCTAAACAAATGGCAGCGATGGCAGCATGTCATCGACAGGCTATTCTACATCTTGATTTTCTTCACTTAGCTTGGTGACTTTTAAAAATATCAGTTTGGAATGATCTTCACTGTGTCCCAAAGCCCCTTATGATTCCCCGTTAAAGCAGGCATCGTACGCTGCTTTGTGGTAAACAGGCCCATGGCTTTGACCAACAAGAACAATCCCAGCCAACGCTGACCGAGAGCCGGCCATGCTGTGGGCGCAGTGCTAAGCAGCTTACTGCCCCGTCCAGCATAAATAGCACTAACGCCCGATCGATATCGTTCCCACTTTACAGACAAGGAGTCTGCACCAGGCTTGGAACGAAGGCAGTGTGTTTCCACAGCCCAAGATGGTAAGCACTCTCTGCAAAGTCCAGAGGCTACACGCCACTGTGAGGGCAGCGAGCTGAGCCGCTGCCCTCGAACGATCAGAGATTCAGCTGATGAGCCCAGCAACTCTGTCCTTGTCTTTTGCCCAGAAACCAAATCCTCTCAGGAGATACATTATGCCACCCCCTTGTTCCAGAAGGTGACACCACAAAATCACGGTGAGCCACAGTTGGGGATGAGAGATGCTATTACGAGACAGTGGGCCCAGTGAGGCCACCATACTCAGGGCTTCAGGAGCCCAAGAATGGGTGGGTGGGGGCACACACCTACCTGGGAGGCCAAGGGCGACCAATGCCATGGCACCCAACAAATCTGTCAGGAGATGGGTGGGTGGGGAGGAGGGAGGGATGAGACAGGAAGAGTATCGTGTAAAACGTCCAGAGAGGAAGACACAGGGCCACTTCTAAGCCATTTCCAATAATAAATTACTTGGAAAAAGGCAAAGAGAGTACGGAGGACAAATTGGTGGTTACAGAATCGTCACAGGGATGTAAAGTGCAGCACGGGAATGCAGTCAGTAGTACTGTAATAACTGTGCGCTGTCAGGTGGGTGCTGCAAATACTGGGGAAACATTATGTGAAGTGTATTATCTAAGCACTATGCTATACACCTAAAACTAGTCCAAAATAATATTGAATAATATTGAATTACATTCAATATTGAAAAATTTTTTTAAACTTAAAAAAAATTTAAAGAATAAATTAGTTGATATAGTCCAGGAACAAACAGTTAATACTTGATTCTGTCAGTCCACCCAGCTACTAAAATAGGATATTTTTTAGAGATTCTATGAATGTATATCCTAAGTTTGCCAAATTAGTTCTTCTTTTATATTTCAGAAGCCTGTAATAAAGGTAAAACTGAGTACATCTATTCTGAAATCATCTTGTGAAACAAAGATACAAACTACATCTCAGGGTAAGCTGATTTACACGAAGGAAAAGCTAGCTTGACTGACACTTTAAAGTGTTTCTCCCGGTTATCTGAGGCGAATCACTGTTTTTCATGATTAAACACTCTTCTTCTGATGCATCCAGGTACCTCCAATCCTAGCATCAGACAACAGTTTTGTCACGTCAGATGGGGTCCCGACTGGTGACAGTTTTGAAATGCTTTTGCTGTTTTTACACATGGACCATTCTCCCCATTTCCACATTGTTTAAAAAAGAGTAACTGTTAACCCTGGCTGGTGTGGCTCAGTGGATTGAGTGCCGGCCTGTGAACCATAAGGTTCCTGGTTCAATTCCCAGTCAGGGCACATGCCTGGGTTGCGGGCCAGGTCCCCAATTGGGGGCATGCAAGAGGCAACCGATCAATGTATCGCTCGCACATTGATGTTTCCCTTCCTCTCTTTCTCTCTCCCTTTCCCTTCTCCACAAAATAAATAAAATTTTAAAACAGAGAATAATTCTTAGACCACTGTGCTTTTCAGAAGTGCATCCTGGAAGCATTAGAATGGTCTCTGTTCTGGTTTCCCCACCCCCATGCCCAGTGAAAAGTTCAGAAGCAAAGACACAAAGCACAAACCCATGCCTAAATTCTAAAGCCAAAGGAGTGACCTGGAAAATGTGTCTGCAGAAAACAGTGCCCACAGTCACCGTGAGAGGCAGGCAAGACTACTCAGCAAGTACACATTTATTATTCACTGCCATTTACCTTTGCTCTCAGATTTTGGGAGGCTGCAAATATATTTATACCAATTTTCAAGGACTTTCTCAGTCCTCAAGACTTAGCTAATGTCAAAGGTGTGCAGGTAAGTGCTGCATTTCCCTTCAGTGTCCTGTGGAGAAATCAGCCCAGAGTTGAGTTGGGGGACAAGGGAGAATAGATTAGTTTCCTAAGACCGTGGTAATAATTTATCATAAACTGGTTTGGATTAAAATGGAAATTTATTTTCTCACAGTTCTGGAGGCCAGAAGTCCAAAATCAAGGAGTCAGCAGGACACACTCTCTCCAAAGGCTCTAGCGGAGAACCCCTACTTGCCTCTCCCAGTTTCTGGTGGTTCCTGGAGCTTCTTGGCTTGTGGCAGAATCACTCCAATCTGTCTTGGTCTTCCCGGGGCCTTTTCTTCTTCTGCCATTCTCATCCTGATCACAAGACGCTGGTTTAGGAACCAGCCAGATAATCCAGGATGACTTCATCTCAAGATCCTTCACCTAATTACACCTGCAAAGACCCTTTTTCCAAATAAGGTGACATCCACAGGTTCCAGGAGTTAGGATTTGGACGTATGTTTTGGGGAAGTCACCATTCAACCTTCTACGGGGGACAAATGAGAAATCATACCTATGTCAAGGACCTACTGTGAGAGTTAATTCAGGTGACAAATGTAAAGGGCTTGGAATAGGGCCAGCATATAATAAGAACTCAAAGCTGGCTATTTATGATGTGATGATGCTTACTCTGAGTCATACTGATTGGCTGCTCCCCTGAGAAACCGTGAAGTCTTTGAAGTCATGAACTTGGTGATCTGGGCCACCATTGGCTTCTTCATCTTAATCTGAGCTCCTTCCTGAAGCAGAGCTGAGACAAGGATTGGGTGCAGGTCATTTACATGGGAGGTGATCCCAGGGAGCAGGAGGACCCAGTGCCAGTGAAACAGAAATCAGAAGCCAACACAAAGGGAGGGGAGGGGTCAGCAAATGAGTGACCCTACTGGTAACTGGATTTGCTCCTGTAAAGGCCTTCCAAGGGCCTGAGGTCCAGAACACTGCTAAGTTTCACAGCAAGCCCTCCATCAACAGTCCCTCATTGTCTCCTTGCAAACCTTCTAAAGCAGTTAGTAAAAGCCAACGAACGCCATAATCCACATGATTACCATTGTCCCCTATCTTCCAAGTGCTAGAACTAGTCCATAACCTAGTGCTTGCTACCTAGCTCTGTGGTGCGAAGTCTTAGTAATTGTGAGGCTACGGTGTGCAAGGGTTTTCACTAACCCCCTTGCCACCAGCAGGAGAGTCCTTGTCATCCACCCAGGGAATAATTCCCTTTCCCAGGGCTGCTTTCTAGGACCTTCTAATACCCTGTCTTATCCTGGGCTAGCCCTGAAAACAAGAGCCTGAGATAAAGCCTTTCATGCACATAATTTATTTGGAGGTGACGGGTGGGGGGATGGAACAGGCATGAGGGACTGGAGGAAAAGCCAGTACAAGGATGTACTGTTGAGTTGAGCAATGCTCTGAGTAATCAGGACTTGATCCCACTGAAACCTGCTGAGGAGGGAAAACACCATCTCCCAAACTGTCCACTGGGGATGATAGTGAGAAACGTTTATCCATCGGCTGAAGGCCGCCCCACCCCCACCTCCACTTCTGAGCTGTGCATGTGGTCATTCCAAGCTGGCTTCCATTAGCGCCTCCCTCACCCAGGGCACTGAAAAGCCTCAGGGCAGAAAATGAGTGATATGTGTTGTACCCTTGCAGCACAAACTGTCCACATGAAGTGTGTGAAGCTGCAGATGCAGTGGGAATCAGAGGTGAGGCCAGGGGATGTGACACAGGACACAGAGGTGGCTGGTATGCTCTCTCAACATTTCCTTTTTAACAACTATAGTAACGACAATAACTATCATGTGTTGAGCACGTACCAGGTTCCAGGTACTTTTCAGTGATTTGTGCAATTATCCTTATATAGTGCTTGCAACTACCTCTGCACCCAGCTCCGCTTCACCCCTGCACAGACACCCAGTGTCTACCCCCCACCCCTGCCCTAGCTTTTGCATTGAATTGTTTAGGAAGGGAAGGAGAAGAAAAGGAATATCTATTTTTTTTTTCATGTCTAGAAGTTCTACTTTGGTTCTTTTTCAAATCCACCTATTTCTTTAAACATTTTGTGTTGTGAAATGGCACACACATTATATGGAAATATGTAAAAATATGCATGTGGTTTAATAAAGTTTATCAGGTGAACACTGGTGATGGAATGCCATCAGCAGCCCAGAAACCACTTGCAGGCCCCTTCCCACCCACAACCCATCTCCCCAACTTTATTCCTCTTTTATGGGACATCTGGGTGGCTATTAGTTTGGAGCTATTGCAAATAATGGGGCTACGACTATCCTTATGCTAGGAACCTGGTTCCCATGTGCATGCAGTTATGTTGAACATGCACGGGTTGTGGGGTATGTTTATCTCCAGTCTCACTAGACAAGGATACCCTGTTTTCCACAGCAGTCCTGCGCTGCCTCTTAAAGCATTCTAGGATCTGGGACGACGAGTACAAGCCCATAAAGGCTGAGGTCCCTAAGACAAGGTGCCTGAATAAAAGGACCCACGAGTAGGACTGAGATTTTCTTCAGAAAAGTCACTTGTAAAAAATAAACTTCGTAGTTTCTCACAGTTATAAAACTAGGGACTGACCCTCAAACTGCAAAAATGAGATTTAAGATTTTCAGTAGGCATACAGGGGTAACGGCCCTTCCCTTGAGGCTGCCGTGTTACAATGAGAGGAAGCGAATGAGAGCGTGCGGCACTGCGTCCTCACCCCGACATCCCAGTGTTCTCGAGAACGGGGATCGCCGCCGTGAGAGGAGACACAGAGGCGTGATAGAAGAGGTAAGTAAAAACCCTACAGTCCTAAAGGGCGTAAGAGGATTTTTTTCAGTGACGGAAATGTTCTATATTGTCATTGTGGTGGTGGTTACACATTTGTCAAAACCTGCATTTGTAGCTTTAAAGTAGGTCAATTTTTTTGTTTGTAAATTATATGTCAATAAAAATGATTAAAACACACACACACACACTCACATATTTGCTTAGCTCTGAAAACTGAAAAGGTCTAGAAACAAAAACACCTTTCTAACTGCACATCCCCTAGTACCCAGCGTATGATCTCCTTGGGGAAACTCTGAAACACACAATCTCTGTGCTAGATAGTAAATAACAAGCAAACTATCAAAGATTACTAAAGGTAAGTCAAAAGGACTCAAAGCCAAGTTGAAAGGGTCCCATTGGCCAAAGGTAGAACAATTGGAGCATCAAAAAAAATCAACTTTAAAGGGGATGAATCCAACATTTATCCCAAACCTTTTCCACACCTCTAACCAGACGGTGTGAGATATTTTTCTTTGCAAAAGTATTCTAGCCAACGAATGAAGACAGGACCAGAATATCACCACTTTATCACCTCCAATGAGCTGACTGATCTAGGCACTGATCAAGGACTGCTAGCACCCCCCAGCCCAAAAGAAACCAGCAGATATTACTGACTCCTGACGGGAGAGCACAGTCACCCATGAAATAACCTCATTCCCAAAAGTGAACTTAAAAGCTGATCCAGACTCTGGAATCAATTTCCAATCTAGAGGAACAGGTTAACTAAACTATACTATGGGGTGTAATAAAACCCAAACAGTGCAAGACCCTGTAATAAATAATCCGATTTCTGAGAGAGTAAGAGACAGAATCTATAAGCTAAGAGAAGCCAAAAGACCTAATGACCAATTTCAATATAAAAGTGTTATTTAAATTCTGACCCAAATAATACAAATTAGAAACTGAATACTTGATATTAAATAATTAAGAAAATTTTTATTATGAAAACTCTCACACAAAAAGAGAGGCAGTACAACGAATACCCATGTACCCATCACCCAGCATCAATGACTCAGTGTTGTTCTTATTGTTCATCTATAATCCACCCCTTTTTTTGTTAAAACTAGGAAATTTCACACAAAATTATTCAAGTGTCTCTATTAGGTAAGGATTTTTTTTTAAGCCATAATGCCATTATCATACCTAAGGAAATTGCCAATAATTCATTAGTATTATCTAGTGTTAATTTTTTTAGGTGTGATAATGGTTAATGAAAGATTTTTAACTAAGATATTTACAAATGAAATGATAGCTACAATCTACTTCAAAATAATATGGAAGGGTGATTGGGTAGATGAGACAAAGCTGGTCATGGGTTGAAGGCTGTTGGCACATGGGATTAATTATACTATTCTGCATGTTTGTGTACAAAATTCTGCATGATATCAAAAAATAATAATCAAAACATAAAAATGTGCAACCAGTTAGCTTTTCAAGATATTTTTTAATATATATTAAGATTGTTTAAATTTTACTTTTAGAAAGAGGGGAAGGGAGGGAGAAAGGGAGAGAGAGAGACATCAATGTGCGAGAGATCCATCGATCAGCTGCCTTTTGCATGCCCCCCCACTGGGGACCTGGCCTGAAACCCAGGCATGTGCCTTGACTGGGAACCAAACTGGTAACCTTTTGGTTTGCAGACTGGCACTCAATCCACTGAGGCACACCAGCCAGGGCTCAAGATATTTTATACAAATTATTAGTTGGAATTTTTGTTAGGTTGATAATGATAATATAATTAACACAAGTGTATTCAACATACAAGACTCCTTCTTTCCTGATAATAAAACCCATTTCAGAGTGGATAAGACACTACTGTAGCCCCAGGGGATAAATTATGTTTGATGCAAATTAATCATTATATTCTCATTCCCCTGAACAGTGATTAGCCTAGGAATGACCATGTGACCAAGTTCTGACCAATGAAACAACAACTCTTCTGATTGGGATATCTGGGGAAGGTTTTACTTTCCTAATAAAAATAGGAGGGTGAGTCCCGGCTGGCTAGTTCTTATCTCTTGTACTTTCTTCCTAACTGGAATGTGAACGAGAAAGCTAGAAATACAGCAGCCACCCTGTGACCATTAAGCAATAAGTATAAAGATAAAACCCAACATATTAAAAATGGTGGAACAGAAAAACAACAAAAGCCTGTGTCTCTAACTATAGAGGAAATGATTATACCAGCTCCAGACAGTGTACCCCCCACCTTGATTTCTTTTTATAAGAAAAACAAATTCCAATTCGCTTAATCCAGTACAGCAGGATTTTTGTTTCTTGTAGCTGAACATAGTCCTTATACAATGGAATACAAGAAATATAAGTAATAAAAATGAATTTTTTAAAAAGCACCAAAAATGTCCATAAGTGCAAAGGGGCTAACAAACAACCTAAGTTAATGTAAGACAACCAAATTAGAAAGGACAAATATTTATTAGGCTAATATTAAAATCTATACATTCTTGGCTGATGATATATACTTGGCTAAAAAGTCTTTCACTTTGGATACATGCATCATTTCCTTCATTGTGGTGTCTCTACTTCTCAGCTGTATTAATCCATTCTCCAGAGTTGCTTCAGTAATCAAAACTGTGAAGAGGATACCCATTTCATCATATCTAAGAAAAAAAGTAGTTAAACAAAATACATGCATACAAATGTAAATTGTAAATTCATCATATTACCAGTTTTAATTACTTTAGATTACTTTAATCACCACTCTCAAGAGTCACAAGACTCAAAGGCAGGGCCTGAGAGCTGGACCAAAACCCACCTTTTTCAAATTTCTGAATTGCATTCAAAGTAAAATTTTCAGAAAGTTTCTGACTTACTGTAATAGCTGAAAAGTCATAAAAGAAAATAAAATTTGAGAACAGTGGTACCTCAACACACCATTTGGGGTGATATTATGGGTAAATCTCGGATTAACCTTAGCCTTTTGGTATTTTGATGCAGTCCAAGAAATTTATTTTAAAGACTCTTATAATGCTACTATAATAAAAATCCGGTGCTCAGCAGATCATACCAAAATCATGCCTGATGTGTAGCTTTATATGCTAACTTAAGAATTTCTAGTTCAGCAATAACTGAGCTATCCACACTGGCCTCCTTTCTTTTTAACCAGTCACATGACCTCATTAGTGTTTCTTCGCTGTGCAGGACTGTATCAAAGTTATCTTATTTATCTATTTCCTTGTTTAGTGTCTATTTTATCCCACCAGAATATAAGTTGCATCAGAACAGAAACCATTTGTCTTATTCACTGCTGTATCAATGTAAAGAAAACATAATAGGTGCTTAATAAATATTTAAAAATATCCTAAAATAATAAAGCCTTTACCACATAAAGAACAACTATAACTTGATAATGTCCACGACTCAAAGGATATAATTTCAGAATCTAGAAAGTTTAAATACGTCCACCTCATTTTATGTATGATAAAACAATTAAGTTGCTTTATCCATAGCAACCTACTTTTCTTTTGACATCATCTGAAAGGTGTATTTTAACATGTTAGAGAACTATGGAGCAAAACACAAAGCTTGAAACTTTTCAATCAAAAATTATGTATTCAACACACACACAAAAAACCCTAAAAAAAAATTTAAAGCCAAAGTAAACCCAAAGGAGAAAAGAAGTCCTTTATTAAAAAACAGAAGTGAATGAAATAGCAGAGGGTAAGGCTAGAGACAGGAAGATCAATTAGGAGATTATTTCAATAATCCAGCCAAAAGATACTGCTGATCTTAACATGGGTAGTAGCAGTAACAATGGAGAGATATGGATTTGAATGTATTTAAGAGGTAGGCTGACAGCATTTGGTGACAAACTAGATGCGGAGAATAAGGATGAGGGAGGAGCTAAGGATGGTACATCCAGGTTTCAGTCTTGAGCAACCAGGTGTCAACAGAGGTGCTGATCACTAAGGAGACTAGTTTTCTGTCCTCTGGGATGAAATTATTTCCCACTCAGCCTCAGAATGAACCATACGCCAGCAAGGAAAAGGCAGTCCCAACTCAACAAATGCATCCAACATACATAATTTCATTCCTGATAAATCGATAAATTCAGATATACATATTTCATGACATTAAGTCTGAAGTTACATGTGGTAAGTGCTCAAGTATACCTGATGAATGCTATTCCCTATTGTAGCAATTACCTAAGAGCATGTGGTTCTGTAAATGGGGAAGTTAGAAAGAAATACTTTTAAATTATATTTTTATATATAGTAAAAAAGGTTACTGTTACTCATAAAATAAACATCATACAAAAAATAGAATAAAATATTTCTGTGAAAAGGAAAACAATTCTTACTTTGAGTAAAGTTGCTCCAATGAGGACTGTGCAGTTTCCAAATAGCCAGGCCACACAGAAATCCCATTTTCTAGTAATTCATTAAACAGCCCTTGACAAACCTGGAAAGAAAATACTTCAAATATGAAAGAAATAAAAGTAGCTCGAGTGATTAGTCTATTTCTGTGAAGCCACAAATCATCCTTTTCAATCTTTAAAATGGGCACAAATTCTTTTAATTACGTGATAATACTATTTATAATTTATATATTGTGTATTTTCTCTGAAAATGCAAATCTCTGAAAATTTTATACTACACATAAGAATTTTTATTACTATCATTATCATTCAAAACACAAACAAAACCAAAATAGATTTTATCAGAGAAAAACAGTTAAGTCCAAAGGGCTACGTTACCTCTAAACTTATCTGAGAGTTGAGAACTGAACCCTAGGGTTTCACTATCGTGTCAGGAAGACAAGGAAGAGCCAGGAGAGAAAACTAAGCAGAAGTCACCAGAAAAGTATGAGGAAAACCAGGAGTGTGGTGTTCCTGAAGCCAACTAAAGAAAATGCTTTAAGAAGGAAAAGATGATTGACTAGTTTCAGTGGAATGTTGGAGACAAAAGCCTGACTGTAAGTACAGAAGTAAAAATAAATAACACAGTAAATTTACTGTTTTCTTAACAAGCAGTGAAGCAAAACAAAGCAAAATTTCAACGCCCTTAACTATCTGGAGCTAAAACACTGGAGCAGGATTCCTCCCATTCAGCTCTGTTGATGTAAATAAGAGGTTAGAAGTGCTCCTGGCCTCGTCATACAGACTTCACAGACTTCGGCAGCAACGCCTCCCCACTGGGGGCTGTGCCTGAGCCAGGGCGCTGCTGCTCCTCCAACTCCAGCCTGCACCAGAATCACCTGGAGGGCTTGTCAAAACACGTTGCTCAGCCTGGCTCCCTCCCGGTGTTCCTGATTCAGCAGATCTGAGGGACCAAGAATTTGAATTTCTAACAAGTTCCCAGGGAAAGACCATACATAGTGAAGTAAATAGTTGTTAAGCTATTTGATATTTGGGGATAGAAGAGAATATAGATAGTAATAAATCTAAGAAATTAACAGGGAAAAATGAATACAAGAATGGATTTTAATAAGTTAGTGGTTTCCAGGTGAAAATTTGCTCTTTGTAGTGGAAGGTGAAAAAGGAGAAAAAAGCTCTAAGCATGACGAAGTGCTAAAGACACAGGGAAATAAGAACCCTCGCACCGCAGGTATGAGTGAGTACAAATAGGTGCGGCCAGTCTGGAGAGCAATCTATCTGACACAGTGAAATTAAGGATACATATGCACTTTATCCAGAAATCCCATCCCTGTGTATGTAACTGGCAAAAATGCTTGCACAGTCCAGAAAGTTACATGCATAAGAATTCTCTGTGATATTGCTGAAGCAAAAGAATTAAAAACAGATTTAAGATATACCATACCAGTACCCTTTTGGTAAGTTAAAAACATCCAAGGCACAAAATACTACTATATGCTTGTAAACAAACCAACAAAAAAACAAGGCTGGCAATTTTAATGACAAAAATCTAGGGAACAGAGTTCTTTGTTGTCCTTCGAGCAAAAAACAAAAAACAAACAAAAAAACAAAACAAAAAAACCCAACAACAAAACCTAGGAACTTGCTACCTACAAGGGTGTTGAGGAGCCTGCCACACCCTTGCGGAGAAAAGTGAAAATTAAAATATTATCTTCTCTTTCCCTGAGCTGACCATCCCCACCTTCCCAGACCCATCCACAGGAGCCCTGGCAGAAAGCTGGGTGAGTCCCTCTAGTTCCCTCACTCAGGTCCTGGATGGGTCTCTGTCACCCAGGCCGAAATGAGGACTGCTGCAGGGGTCTCTAGAAAGAAAGAAAACCACACTCCTGGCTTTTCTCTGGGATATTTAGACCAGAGGGATTAGAAAAAAATCATAAGATTACTGATCTAGAATCTGTGCTTGTACCAGCAAGTATCAAAAGTATTAAGTTAAAAAGGGAAGAGGACAAAAAGAAATTCACTCGCGACATCTGTACAAATATTTTGATCACCAAAACTGTGCATAATCATAAAGAAGTGTAACTATGGACATGACATCAACAGTAAAATCCACTGAATTGTATTAATCTTCTTTAATATACTACACTTTAAATTATCTACTATTAACCATAATGTTGATCCATAGTTCATTAGTTAAAATTTTTTTCATGCTCCATATATCTTTTATTTTTTTAACATTTTTAAATTGTTGTTCAAGTACAGTTTTCTGCCTTTTCCCCCACCCCTCCCCATAGTTAAAATTTTTTTAAAAGCAAATAGTCAAAATAAAAATTTAAATTGTAAACTCCTCATTTACTTGGAATAATGGTTATAATTAAAATCATGACATTAAAATGCATTTAACCCACCTGTCTGAGTTCCACTGCTGGGCCTCTTCCCACATCCAAAGCAACCTTAATAGGGGCTAGACAAGGGTGAAGCTTAAGTACCTAAAGCAATTGAAGGGGGGGAGGGCAACAACACATTTAGGTAAAACACAAGCACTAACAAACATGGAGCTTCTTACACAGTAACATTTTGTGTGAAGACGGAAGCTAGCTGGGGGCCATAAAAAATCTTGTAATGATGTATTCAGCTGTCTATTTCCAGCTGCTCTTGGATTTCTCCACTTAGATGTTCTGCAGAAGTAAGTTCACTTGATACGCCCCATTTTCTGACAACTCCATTTTCCATCAGCCAAAATGCCCCTGCCTGGCATCAATGCCTTCCCTACCCAGCTGGGGCCACGTGGCTTATCATTTGGACTTTCTCTTGATAAAACCCACCACTCTTCTCATTCATTACCTAGTCAACAAAAACTTGAATGGCTACTTCTAGGTGCTGGGGACAAAAATCCATGTCTTTCATGATGGGGAGAAACAGATAATAAACACAATAAATAAATCAATAATATACCTGAAGGTGGTAAATGCTAAAAAAGCTATGGGATAGAAAGTGCTGGCAAGGGGGTAGGTTGGGGAGGGCTGTTTGCAATTTTAAGTAAGTGGAAAGAGAAGGTCTCCTCTTTGAAGTGACACTGGAACAAAGACTTGGAAGGAGGCTGAGGAATAAGACATGTGGCTATCCAAGGAAGAACATTCCAGGCAAAGGGGAGAACAAACGACAAGGCTCTGAACTAGGAGCATGCCTGGCATGTTCTAGAAGCAGCAAGGTCTGTGCTGCCGAAGCAGACCAAGGGAGGTGGAGAATAGTACACAGAGGGCAAAAAGGAAATTGTAGAACATTTTAGGGGCTTTGGCTTTTTCTTCTGAGTGAGACAAGGAGCTTCCTGGAGTACAGAGGAGCAAAGTAATGTGTACCTTTTAAAAGGGCCATTCAGTGGGGGAAAGAGGGAATGTCAGTGGCTTAACCACCAACCTAATCAGAGAGGAGGGAGTGGAGGTGGGAAGAAATGGTCAGATTCAGGATATACAGGGTCCGGGAGAAGTAAGGCCTGCTTGAGTGTAGTTGGCAGGATAATAATATAGGTGTAACAATTTACAGTTTTAATTTGAACATTTCACCTAAAATGTCATATGGTGTGCTTGAGTGTGATATTGTTATGTTACAGAAGTACATGCTTATGATTTTGTAATAAAAGATTCTATAATAAGGAAGGTGTGTTATTAGTTCTGGCTGGTATGGCTCAGTGGATTGAGTGCTGGCCTGCAAACCAAAGGGTTCCTGGTTCGATTCCCAGTCAGGGCACATGCCTAGGTTGCAGGCCAGGTCCCCAGTAGGGGTGCACAAGAGGCAACTACACATTGATGTTTCTCTTTCCCTTCTCCCTTTCTTTCTCTTTCTCCCTCCCTTCCCCTCTCTAAAAAAAAAAAAGCAAGAAAGGGACATTATTTTGGACCCCCCTTTACCCCTGTATTTTGAAGGTAGAGTCGAACAGGTTTTGCTGACGGTTTGGATGTGGGGTAGAAGAGAAACAAAGGATCCCCCTTGTTTGTGTGCTATAAATCCTATAAATCCCAACCCCTCAGAACAGTTCTATAACCTGACTTTCTCTATGGCCATATCAGCTTAACTGAGAACAGCATAATCAATCACTTAATTACACAGAGTAGTGCTACAAACATGGTTTCCAATCCCAGCGGAACATTCAACATGTTAAAACTTTTGATTTGGGCCAGCTCCCTTTCACGTTCAAGGGGAATATGACTATTCTAAACTCTTGCCACTTAAACCCCTACTCCTCCAAATTTTAATCTAGTAATCTTGCCTCCTAGTTCTTAGCCTGTGCAGGCAGTATGAGTAAAACTCCCTGCACAGACTAACTAGTAGCCTATTTATATCCATGCCATCTTTTTTTCCTCCCTGTTTCAAATAACTCCTTTTCAGACAAATCCCTCCACTTATGCTCTTGATCCCTCTAGCTTCTTCCAAAATCTTATTCCCTAGTCATTTTTTTTTCTTTCCTACAGCTTTGACCCCTTCTGTCTCTTGATTTTGAGCCCTGACAAAAACTGTCTGTCCTAAAATAAGCCTTTCCCTCCACCCAGACCCATATCTAGTTCCTGTGATCCAGTGGCCAGCCACTTGGGAATAGACCAGAAGCAGAGACGTCAATAGCACAAGCCTTGCTGTCAGTCGTATTTACTCCTACTTAACACTCATCTTCTGATGCAGATGGAAACCATCAATGGAAAGGTTCAAAGGCTAAAAATCAGACATAGCTGCCTAGCTCTTCACGATCAGAAATACCTTTGGACTACCCAACAGGAATGTCTGATTCTATTCTGTGAGAACCTGCATACTATTCCTGTGGCCAGATTCTAAAAAACTGAAAAATACTTAAACCTAAAAAAAGTTATTATTCACTTTATGTTAGAAACCAAGCACACCAACATTAAAAACAGAGGAACAATGAAACCTATGTAATTTTATTAACTAATGCCACCCCAAATAAATTCAATTAAAAAGAAAAAAGGTAAGGAGACTTATATTTTTAATTTCCCAAGTCTATCTCTGAAATATCAAAAATACCTTTCTATGGAGATTTTTCTTTCTTGTAAAGGAATTCTCTGTTAACTGGAAAGAATCATAGAGGTAAGCCAGCATGCCTCGGTCTAGATCTCCATTTATAGATAAAACAGAAGGAACCACATTTTTTCGTCCATCTCGCCCCTTCAAAGAAAAGTAGAACAAGAATAAAGTATCATTTAGCGGAACTATCTATCTCTTAAAATTACATTATTTAGACTTATAAGATCAAAATATATACTGATCAATAAATTTCAAAGACACAATCAAATTAATTTTCTAAAAGTCATCATTTGGCAACCCTCATGGTAAAAATTGATCTGGACAGGAATCATAAGAGGATGCTGCGACTGGTAGGTCAGAGTCTTGTGAGAAACACATAGTCTTAAACTATCTGCCCACAAAAGAATTATTACTCATTAATTAATGAGTACACAATACTAATCAACTTTACATTGGAGAAACCTGGTAGCACCATCCTAACCAAGTGATAAGTTACCATCACCGTAACAAATTTTATTGCATGCTTCCTATATAAGGAATTTAAAGAGGGCAGCGCCATTTCCGTGGCTGAGAAAACATGAAAGCAACTCAAATCGAGGGACATTCTATAAAGCAACCGGCCTATCCTCTTCAAAAATCAAGGTCGTACAAGACAAGGAAAGATCAAAAGGAAGTGTTTGTTTGAAAGAGACTAAGGCTACTCGACAACTACATGAAGCGCACAATCCTAGTCTGGATCCTAGTCTGGATCCTTGCACACTGGCATGACTGGTGTATTAGAAGGGTTCTGAGGGCTGGGTAGTGACGGTGAATTACTGTTACTGTCCTCATTGTGATGGCTGCATTGTGGTTATGCAGGTGAGTGTCCTTCCACTCAAGAAATACATTCTGAAGTATTAAGAGGTCATGTGCCCCATGTCTACAGTTTATTATCAATTAGTTCAGCAGTGATCACAGAGAATCTGGGTAAAGGATACATTAGGAGTTCATCATGGTAAAACATACATGTAATTGGGACACATTTCCAGGATACATGTGTAAAAGTTCTTGCTCTCCTAGATTCCACAGGGTTTCTATTGGCTCCTTTCCCCAGGGAAAATGGTAGTAAACTCTGTTTCCTCTTCGCCCCTCTTCATCCTGGCAATCACTGCTGCTGAAGTTAGATGGACTCACCGCAAACTGGAAAAGAAAGTTTAGGTTTGTCTTATTAACTTATTAAAATAAGTGCTAAAAAGTAGGTTGCTAGAGACGTTTCATGCAGAAACTGAATGAAAATGGTCAAGCCCAAATAAAAACTACAGAGAAAACTGTTGATTATATGTATATGGGTGTACGGATGTATCCTACTTAACAAGAAGGGAAGGCAACCAAGAGCTAAGTGAGATGAAGAAGAAAGTACCATATACTCACCGTTCTTATCTTTTGTAAAGAGCTTGATTATTTATGACTATTCCACTTAATTTAGGTGGGTGTTTGGGGATTTTAAGAGTTGGAGAAAGATAAAAATGCTTACTTCAACTCTCTCGTGTTCAGCACATACCAAAACTTGATTATAAATTATAGAACCATTGTGACTAATATGGAGAGTTCATGGAGATAGGGAACAAAAATTAAAACTCAAAGAGCGAACAAGGGTCAAACTCATACCAGCCAGGACAGCAAGGTGAGGGATTTGAACTTTACTTTAAAAGTAAACACTTAGCAACAAAGGCTTCTGAGCAAGAGAGAAATATTAACCAATGTCTTTAGCAAAGTAACTTTGTTATAGGGAACAGTGAAAATTGTTAGAGTTAATTTGTGTTTGTTGACTTATTATAGCTGTCGCTTATAACATAGCTACATCAAAAAATTTTCATTTATTACCTGGCTGATGTAGCTCAGTGGATTAAGTGCAGGCCTGCAAACCAAAAGGTCGCAGGTTCAATTCCCAGTCAGGGTGCATGCCTGGGTTGCAGGCCAGGTTCCCAGTGGGGGCCTCATGAGAAGCAACCACACATTGATGTTTCTCTCCCTCTCTTTTTCTCTCCCTTCCCCTCTCTCTAAAAATAAATAAATAAAATCTAAAAAAATAAATAAAGTGGTTAAAACTTAAAATTTTTTTCACTTATTATAGAGAAGTATTACCTCTGACACATTAAGATGATATACTTAATAACTATTGAATTAAGGGTGATTATTGTAGTACCTTTCTCCACCACAGGAGTCGATGACGTAACCAGAAATCAAGCCACTGGCTGGCAGTTCTTGTTGAAGTAAACCATACCAGCGAAGCTTCTGTCTTCTCAGCAATTCTTTGGATGTCAGAAATATTGGATAGTTACTTATCTAAAAATTATACAATGTATCTCAAAATGAAAATGACTAGTTCTTGACTATTTAAAGGCAAGGCCGAGTTATTTGCCATTTTTCTGTACCTTTTAACACCATCAGCTGTCTGCTTAGAAGCAGGATGAAAACACACTCCAATCTGAGCAAGGCCATAAGGCAGCCTCTTGTTTACCAAATCCAGGCAATTAACATAGTGCTCCAAGGCACCTGTCAAAAGATAAATCAATCATCATGTAAATCAATTCTATAAACCCAGATCTTTTTGATGAAGTCATATATAAACTAATAATATAATAATGCCAATGCAAGAGTACAAGTAGCATGGGGCTATTTATTAAGGTAGATCTTAATTACCACTTAATTTTAGTTTCCCCCATACTTTTAGTTTGAAGATTTTCAAATCTCTAAGTTGAAAGAACAGTACAATAAACACCTGTTAACCCTTCACCTAGATGTACCAATTGTCAATATTTTGCCACATTTTTTGTTCACCCCGAAAACATTTGTGTTCATCTCCTAAAATTAAAATGTTTTCTATATACCACATTTACACCATAAAAACAAACATAATACCGTAATTTCATCTAATATATAGTTGATATCCTATTTTCTCCAATTATCACACAAAATGTCATTTACTGCTGCTCTCTTTCTCCCTAAGGTTCATACACTGAATTTTGACTAGGTCTCTTTAATCTCTTTGAATATAGAACATTTCCTGACTCCTCCCTCCCTAACTTTGCTCTTAATGACATTGACTTTTGAGTCCAAGGCAGATTATCTCACATTAGACATTTGCCTGATTGCTTCCTTATGATTTAATTATTTTTAGCAGAAATAAATACTAGAGTTGATGTGTGTGTGTCTTATTGTATCCTAACAGAAGCAACATAATGTCAAACCATCCCACTGTTAAAGAAACAAATTTAATTACCTGATTAAAGTAATCTGTTCCCCAGCAATACCTTGCTCCCCAACAATCTTCCACCTACATTTTAGAATCTACTGATGATCCTTGCTTGAATCAATTATTATACCCTTGAAGAGTATAAAATTAAAACATGGTGATTTTTCTAATCTATTTTTCCTTTTACATTTATTGCATAGCTTCTATAAAAACAATTTTATCCACCTCTTCGATCCAACAGCAGCCTCAATTACTTTTTTGGTTAACATTGTGGTTTAAAATTTTTTTATTTTATTTAATGTGTTATGATTCATTACCATCAATACTTATTTTAATGTTCAGTTTGCCCCAAATTTAGCCAGTGGGAGTCTCCTTCAATCCAGCATCTGGTCCTTTCGACAGACATGACCCCCAACTAGTCTTCAAGCAATTCTTTGCTTTCTAGTACCATAAAATGTCCCAAACTCACCTTGTACTTTCCTTGCCTTAGACCTGGAATCAGCCATTTCTCCAAGCACTGGTTTATTTTATTCAATAGAAACCAAACATTGGGTACTAGGTGTGCTCATTGCTATTGTCATTTTTTCTAGGCCCTTTCAATGAAGAAAGTTAGAAAATATATATTTTTAAAAATCATGAATTCATACTGATATTGCCAACTGAAATTTAACATTACAAAGTTTATTCTTATTTTCTTTTATATTTGTATCTCTTTTCTATTACAGAGAAAATCTTGGCTTCTAATAACATTAATCTATCCATCTATTTGCTTTATCCTATAATATACATAGTCTCAGAATTATAATTCCAACATTCCTACTTGGAGTAAACCTAAGTTCAAGATTTCTTTGTAGTTCTCTATGCCAGTTATATAAAAAATTATACCCCACTAAATGACAGCACTGTTCAAAAGTTACTTGAGATTTCCACTTCTGATAATAGTAGATTAGCTTGTAACAACAACAACAACAACAACAAAAAAGCTGGTCAAAAAAACTTTTAAAAAATCTATTTAAAGATATAGGAGAACTATTAAGGCAGTAAGGACTTGAGGGTCCAAAATTTGGAGAAAAGGGAAGAGCACAGAGATGAATCCAACATTCAGTGCTACTTTTCCAATTGTGAAGTAGCAGAGCTGAACAGAGCTTCCTGACATCTTATGCAATTGGGAAGTACAAAAATTATAGTTCCTGGCTCACCAAGGAGGGGTCCTGGTACACACCCCAGCCTTTCACTAGGGACACTACACTCTATAGAGGGGAGCGAAAAGACTGAAGCCCAGCCTCCAATAAACTTAGTTCTCAGTTGTACTAAGAAGATATGCTTCCACTCCAGCTGCCTGCCAAAGCAAAAGTAAATCCTTTCAGAAGGAAGAAAATGCCACTCAAAGCCTTGATTTATCTCTGTAATTTTTATGCAAATTACCTAGAATTTCAGGAGAAAGCCCAAATGACCAAAAGCCCAGAGAAAAACAGATACTAGAAAGAGATACATCTAAGTTATTGGACATAGACTTTACAATGTGATTGTGTTCCAGAAAGTTGATGACAAGATGGGGAAAATAATTAACCTAATTAGACACAAGACGACCGAGGAGAACGGGTAAAAATATCTGGAGACATAATGGCTGAGAATTTTTAAAAACTAATCATAAGTAGAGGCTACTACAATAGCTCTGACATGGAATAAAGAAAGCAGGAACATTGGGAATAGAAGGAAATGGAAAACTGGGTAACTAAGCAAATAGATGGATTTAAGCTTCCTAAAGGCAAGAAAAAGTCTGGCACACCATAGATGCTTTGATGAATGGACACCTACAGAGAGCTAAGTTTCTTTTTCTGATAAGGAAGAAAAGACTGTTTTGGGGCATGGTAATGGGCAGTGCTTTAACTCCCCCAAAGTAAAGCCACTATGGAATAAAGCATACGAATCAAAAGTACCACATTTACTTAAAAATTTCCTTAAGAAAATTAAACTGTTAACAGTTTTACAATATAGTTACTAATTTTTAGAGAACCATGGGCATTGGTCATTTTAAACTACTTTACAGTACCACTTCATGAAAAATGCCCAGGATAGCATTTTGCAAAGATGAGTTCCCATGCCCCAGAATCTCTGCCATGTTTTATTTGACTTTAAAGGCAAATGGTCCCCTATAAATTTCTGTGTATTCACTCAAGAATCATTTACAAAGCTCGATTAGTCCTATTTTGCGAACTCAAAAATTACCTACAGGGCTCTCAAAACAACAGACTGTAGATCAGTTTTCAGTAAGAAAAATTGAGGAAGGGCATTTTCTTTTTGCTCCAGAAAAATGAGCTTTGTGTGTAAAACTGAAGTGTGGCTGTGGAAGTATTTACAAACATTTTAGTAACGGTAAACAAATGATTTAAATCTAGGCTGCTCAATTAACTCTAAAATTATAGGGCTGCCCCATGAAATTGAGAGTTACCAGGTCCTTCGGTCAGATTCTTTAAGTAACAGTGACGACTGCATAGACCAGTTTTCTCCAGCGTAGAAGCACTGTCAATATACCCAACTACTTCGAAAAGATGAGAACCACGTAACTTCCTTTCCACGTGAATGAAGGGTCAGCTGCAATCCGCGGAATCGAGGGAGATTGCCTTTCCACCCCCAACACCTATTTTGAAGCATGAAATCATGAAGCATACCGTGAAGAAGGTTCTCCCGTAGTTTCCCAGAAGTTTTTAATAAGTTCTCAAGAAATGCTACTAGTTGTTCCTTACTCAGTTCTTTGTCTTGCAAGATTTCGCGCAGAGTTTCTGCAGACACTAACCTGAAGTCACTGTCCCCGGGCAGTGAAGGGCCTGATTCAACGTGGAGTGCGTCTACGGGAAAGACCTGCTCCCTGAACACCACCACCGAGGACCACCATTCTGTCGCCAGGTTCTTCCGCAACTCTAAGCCCAAAGGGCCAAAGCCAGAATGGCACCCGCTCAGAAGAGAATCTCGGCTAATCTGCTGCTTGGTGCCACTGAGGAAATGCCTTCTCTGACAGATTTCTACCAGCGCTTCGCTCCCCTCTCCAGACTCTTGGGCTTCTCTTCGCTCGTTCCCCCCGGGTAGCTCCGCGTGCGACCTCATGGGCCCTCCGAGGGGGCTACTCCCTTCCGTCAACCGCTCAGGCTGGCCCCCATCTACTCGACCCCCAAAACCAGACAACAGGCACCTGCAGACTTTCTGGCAGGCCCTGATGGCTGAACTGGAGCGCATCACCCTCGGGAGGTCAAGACCACAGTCCCTATTAGTTGGTGATCCCAATAAACGGCCACAACCGTAGGAACCTGGGAACCAACTGCGCAGCTGCGTGGCAAGTTAGCGTGCGTGCAGCTGGCCCCGCCCACGGAAGTGCGTCACCAAGTTCCGGCTGTGGCCGTTTGGCCTAGCGGACCTAGGCCTCGTTCTCCACCTCAGGTCAAGCCTGGCCCTTCAGCCATTGCCGTTTTCGCCAGTCCTCAGCATCAATAAAGTCACTTCCATCTACTTTCACTGTCGTGCTGTAGCCAATGTTGCGTCAGCTTTACTTTCCTTCCCCATATTTTTGGGGTTATCAGACATGAAAATAGATGCTCCCCAAATCACTGTCTCAATCTTGTGTTAATGAAAATAAACTTTTGATTCCCATTTTAAAAGTTTTATCGTTTGTGGTAGTTTAGAAAGCCAGTTCTTCCTTGCAACTCTACTAGGTAAACGCACCTCCATTCTGCCTACCCGCCCCCCAGCAGTCTCTCCCGGGTGTGGTTCAGGCTATGTAACCAGTGAGAGGTTCTCATTCAAGTGGGTCCCAAAGGACAGCCGGGGACAGCATCTACACCACCTGGGAACCTCAGCGGAACCTGCTCAGAGGCCCCAGCAACGTTTTAAACAAGCCCTGCATGTTAATGTGGAGAAACACTGAGAAGCCTTGTGTGTATAAGCAAGCTGCTCTACCAGGTTTTTTTCAGGGTTTCATCAGAACACGTATTAAAACTTGACAAGGTCCGTGTAGAATGGATTCAAGGATCCCCTGCTTAGTAGGTCTGTGAATTTACAATCTCCCATGTTAACACTTAAGGCCTTTAAGAGGACTGCCCAAGTAGTGGATAAGTGGTACAACCCAGATGAAAATGGTTCATTCCAAAACTCTGGAGTCCTACCTTCCCACTTCCCTTAAAGTGGTTGGGGAAACCTTGTAAGATTAATCCAGGTGAAAGGCACAAGCCACGGGATTCCACTAGACCACCAGGAAGGGGCAGTTTATAAAGCATTAATATCTTAGCAACTAAATTAATGGAGTAAGGGAGCAGTTAATGAAAAATATAACGTAGCATAGTGCAACTTCAAAATAATTCCATGCAAGTGTGCAAGTTTATAAAAAGAACCTAGAAAATTGAAACTATTGCTGCAAAGTAATTACATTAACTGCAAAGCTGGGTACTATTAATGTGCGTTTCCCACACTAAAAAAACGCACCGAAATGGTCTTATACACAAATAAATGAGAGAGAATGGGGAGAAAAAAATTACATTTATTAGTTAAGACAACCACAGGTTGGACACAACACATGCTAAAAAGTGGAGTCTTTCAAAACTTAGATCAAAGATAAATAGGTAAATGCTTCCCACAGCCCCACAATCATTTCCGTTTACAAATTTAAAGGCCCACATTAAACATTAACAGTAAAATTATGTAATAAATACTCCCACCTATCCTGAAAACTTAAGTCATAACCAATTTGACCATGCTATTTAAAACTGTTACTAGAAGTTGATCAGTTTTCATGTATTATTCCTAAAAATTACCATTCCCCTCCCCCTACAGAATTCAATTATTTTAGAGATAAGGCATTAAAACCAGTTCGAGTCCCCATCTAATCAGAATTTATCTCATTAAGACCTCCCCCCCTCTCCTGGCAAAAGAACATGTTATCACTCTCTGGGAAGACACACAGACCTATTCCTAGCCATTATTGATTAGAAAGGTTGTTGGTGAGCCAAAGTTAAATCTAAAGCTACTTCCTGGATCCTTCTGGCAATAAACCCATGTTGACCCAACAAGACTTATTAGTAACTGTGCTTCTGGTTATGTTGCTTTCTCTTGGTTAACCATTAATTTTGGTGAGGATTTTTTTGTATTCAAATATGATTACACCTTCACTTGAAGTAGTCCTGAGGTCCCCGGATTCCTGCAAAGACATTCAATATCTCTCAGTCTTCACTAATTAAGAGCCTAGAATCTGTTTGTAACCTGCTCCAAGAACACTGAAAACGAATTAAAATTTAGCTCCTGCCAACCACATCTTAAGTAGTACAAAGTCTTAGTTTTTTGTCAATATTCCAGTAATTCACAACAGAGCCAAGAGCATGAATATAATCTTTGGGAGATCAAGTTATTCCGTACTTTTAAATGATAAATTTTGCAAAAGGAATAGCCATCCAGGTTCTCACATCAACCAATTTGAAAATGGAATTTATTACATAGTGCCCTACAACACTATGTAATGAAAAGTATCATTGACTTCCTATCTTTTAATCTCATTTCACAATTCTGCAAACAGGCTTATTGCATGACTCATCTTATGTTGGGAGGTACTGAGAGAATGCCATTAAGCCTAAAATTATAAATTTACCTAAATCAATCTTATTTTAACTCTTGCAATATGAATAAATCTTCTGATCTCCCCACTTCCCAAAACTAAGTACGGTAATCGAAAGCAGTTTAGTTTTTGATAAAAAAAAAAAAAAAAACAACAAACCCACAATGGACCATCTAAGCAAAGTTTTACATGGTATTAGATATGTAAAATAAAGTACAATTTCCACTTAATTCAGTCTTCAAATATTTTTTATTGGAAGGCCATGCATTGCCTTCATTCATTGTATTTCAAATCACTGTACATTTACTTTTGTGAAAACACTGCCTGCATTTTCTAGTACAAAAAAAACCTAAAAATTGTTTCAGGAATGTAGAGAAATATCCAACTTAAATAGCGAAAAAGTGCACCATAATCACTGCTGCACTGCAGTCATTTCTGCATTTCCCATGTTTCTTAAATAACTATCTTGTCTGATAACACACAATATAAAGAGCAATTATGAAAAACAGACATTTACATATACTTTCTAAAGTCTTATTGAGAATATCCTGTTGGCATTGGATAACCAATCATAGGCGCAGCTGCAGTAGCAGGATATGCATATGCCTGTTGGTTCATACCATTGTGCATATTTGGAACATTACTTCCATATTGCTGAGTGCTATCATAACCATTCTGGTAAGTCCCTGTTGGATTACCAGTCCTAAAACTGGTCTGTATACCAGCAGACACAAAATTACTTCCAAAGCTCCCATTGGTGTAATTGGTAGCACTGTAAACACCATTCTGAGTTTTTGCCCCAAAATCTCTCTTAAGCAGACTAGAGTAACCTCTGTCATAATTTTCCCTGTCTCTAAAGGTATTAAATCCACCCCTTTTGCCCGCAGAGTATCTGTCCCGACGGTCATCCTTCATGCCACCTCTACCCCTGGAACGACCTGTAAAGAAAAAAGATTGCAAACTGATTATTTCTGTAGCACAAATAACAGAAGCAATCAGGTAGCTCTTATTCACTATAGATGTAGAATATTTCAACATAAGTGTCCTGTTGAAGGTTTTTACTTACCAGCCAATCCCATTTAAATGGGTTTGCATACAATTATGTGACCTAAAACCACCAACCTTTATTTTAAAATTGATCTTACCTGAACCTCTGTCTTCAACCAACTGAAGCAACTTGGGATTAATTGCTTGATTAGCTTCACGAAGCACAGAGATAAGGTCGCTCACTTGCTTTATGTTATTAGGTGTAAAGAAAGTGTATGCTGTGCCTGTTTTGGTACTGCGAGCAGTTCTTCCAATTCGATGAATATAATCCTCTGAGGAGTTAGGGTAGTCATAATTGATGACAAATTTCACATCTTCCACATCTGTAAGGTGTTGCAGTGTGGCAAAATAGCAATGTACAGAGTTTTGCACACCACAACAGCCAGACCAAAAATAAAAAGTTAGACAATTGTATTCCCAAGAAGGTACGGGCTGCAAAAAATACAGTTAAAATGGTTATCGATTCCCTGCAGGAATACCATTGAGGTTTAAAAATAAAAATTTAAAAAAAAGCACACGTCATCTGTGTCTTCTTTACCCACCCAATGATGGAACCTGTCAAAAGGATGTGTATTCCCTAAAACATTCCCATATCAGCAAGTCCCCTTATAGATCAAGTGACATCTGAATGCTTCTGTGCAGTAGGGCCACTTAAAGGTTCACAGCAACCTCTTCATGTGCTTATTTTGAGGACCTTTAAACAAAAAGGTACATGGTCCTTTTGCATTACACTCTCATCAGAAGTTGAAAATTCTGGCCACACTGCTTGTCTTGCCAAGACCTTACAACTGCAGCTGCAAGAAAAACATACCTGTCCCCCAAAAGTTGTTTTTATGCACTGTGTCTCGTCTAGGCAAGCGCTTCCAAGAAGCCAGGATTCACTTGAGAATGTGTCTCTCTCTGGCAGGTCTCGACATGACGACTACTGTGTAGGTTGAGGGAGGAACTTTCAAAGCATTGCTTTCTTTTCCCACTGATTAAGTGTGGGAAGTTGCTCCTGCTCTAGAGCTCATGTGCCAGTACTCACCAATTTGTAAAAGGCTTATAGTACCTTTTAAAGCTGCTCTCTCCATTTCAAACTTGAACAAAAATTTCACTGAACATTGAAGTTTGGAAGTATTTCTTCGACATTTCAGCAAACTCACTGAAACTCAAAGACTCACAGATCACAGCAAACAGTCAGAAACAATGCTGTACCATGGCAGTCATGCAAAGCATGGGACAGAAGAAATACCACGGCAGTGAACTGCAGTGAACTGTGAGGATAACTTCCAGTTCCCCCCGGAGAGAACAGTTTACGTGGCAGAGGTGGTATGTTCTGCCTTTTGAAGATTACTGGCACACTTTCAGCTTTTCACCTCTCTAATCGACTGGAAGCAGCCAGCCGATCACTAGTCCTCCATCCCCCTCGAGTCCTCCGATTGTCATGCCTAGGCCTTGCCACAAAGACTGCACCTTTATATGAAAAAAAAACTTAGAAAAAATGCAGAGGTTAAAGAAAGCAATAAACTTTCTTTAAAAATTATATGGAGATCTTCTGGAAAACCAAGCCATGAATTCGAGTTTGTACTAACCTAGCCCTCTGGAGGCCACATCTGTAGCAATCAGAATAGGAGCTTTTCCATGTTTGAATTCTGCAAAACAAGGCATATATATATGATCACTAATCTGAGCACAATCCTTTTGGGGGGTGGGGGAGTAACAAACCTTCATTTGAAATACTTACCATTTAGAACCCAGTCACGTTCCTGTTGACTCTTATCACCATGGATACCCATGGCAGGCCACCTATATTGAATGGAGTAAAGTTACGTAAGTGACTGCAGTAACTGATAAAAGATTTTAGTTTAGCATTTAAGCCATTTTTGGGTCACAGATCCCTCCAATTTCACCTCAAATAATGTTATTGTTTTTCCTATACCACCACAAAACTCAAACCCATTACTCCTGACCTAAGTCTGCCCTTCCTCTAAACTCAGCTCTAATACATCTACTTCAAATGGAGGAAACCCACATACCCATCTCTCCTCATTTTCCTAGTAAGTTCATCACATCTTCTTTTGGTTTCAACAAAGACAATGGTTTTATTCTCCTTCTCACTCATAATTTCTTCCATCAAACGAATAAGCCTTAAAAGAAAAAAAAATTGTGGATTTTAAAAGAAATCCATGCCGTGACCACACATTTATGGTCAATGGTACCTGGATACAAACCAAAAAGGAACCCCTACTTAGTATCAATAATCACTCATCAAGCAATTCTACTTTTGTCCCTTAAACAAACCACAGGACACCCAAGTTCCTCTTCCTACAAGAATGCTATACAGCCAATTATCTGAATGCAGTAAGCAAGAATTTTCAGAAACACTGACAGGCTCATTTTATATTAACATTCTCAGATTCTACCCAAGTCACTTTTAAAATAACCTACAAAACAGAGACTCAAATTACACTGCAATTGTTTTTTGTAGAACTTACTTTTCATCCTTTTCTACATCGTGACACACATCCACAATCTGAAGAATGTTGTGGTTTGCACTCAGTTCCAATGCACCAATGTTTATATGAATATAGTCTTTCAGGAAATCTTCAGCAAGCTGTCTCACTTCTTTTGGCCAAGTTGCACTCCACATGAGGGTTTGCCTGTCAGGCTAAAAAATTTTGGATTTAAAAAACAAAACAAAAACACCTTGTTGTATTCTAAGAACGAATTTAAAGGTAAGTTTGAAGAAATACATTAAAGGGCACTTACTCTTATCTGATCCACAATCTTCCTTATTTGGGGTTCAAAGCCCATATCAAGCATTCTATCTGCTTCATCAAGGACAAGATAGGTGGTTCTTCTCAGATTTGTTTTCCCACACTCTAAAAAGTCAATCAGTCTTCCAGGAGTTGCAATACAGATTTCCACACCTTCAATTAAACACATAAATATAACAAAGAGTTCTAGAACTTCTTAGTACCAATGACAAAAATAAAACCACCTTTTTGTTACATACCTCTCTCCAAATCACGTATTTGTGGTCCCTTGGGAGCACCACCATAGATGCAAGTGGACTTTAATCGACATGCTCTGCAATACTCAGCAGCTACTTGCTGCACCTGTTGGGCCAGTTCCCGAGTCGGTGCCAGCACCAAGCACTAAGAGGAACAGAAAGTGGAACAGCTTTTAGCAGAATCCTAGGTCCTAGTTTTACAAATTATGGTTAAACTGCAAATGACAAGCTTCAGCTAAATTGGGTAAGATAATATTTCTATATGAAACCACCTTTTATTATATATTTTGCAAATCACTACATTCAACTGTAAGTCAAAAACTTTAAAAAAGGAGAAAAATATATACACATATATATACTTACAATAGGCCCATCACCTCTCTCTAGGAATGGCTGATGATTGATGTGGACAATGGCAGGCAGCAAATACTATTTAAGGGTAAGAGACAACAGAAGTTTTATTAAAATAGCCCCGTCTTCCTTTCATTTCTTCTAAGTATCTCAAAAGTCCTCCCAACTTACAGACAATGTTTTCCCAGATCCAGTCTGTGCTACTCCAACCATATCTAATCCACTTAGAGCAACTGGCCATCCCTGAGCTTGAATAGCAGTGGGTTCAGTGAAGTTCTGTCTTGCAATTACATCCATGATGTTTGCTGTAATTAGCAGCAAATTTAGAAAAATTAGCAATGCCGAAAGAAAAAAGGAAATTAAAAAAGACAACTCAAAATCAGTACTTACCAGGGAAGTTTGCTTCATAGAAATTCAGAACTGGCTTTGGGCAGTTGTGACCTCTCACTGTAATTTCCTTGCTTCTTCTGTAAGTCTCCACCTCTTGCTACAAAACAAATCATCTAATTAAGTCTTATGACAATCTCCCCTAACTAAATATGCAACCAGTAAGCCTCTAGACTTATAATCCATTAGGTACTTTCATGGTGCCAATTTAAATCGGAATCCACATATGAAAACCCTATGTGGCACAAAAAAATAGTTATGCTCACCCACCCTAAATAAAAATTCAAAGCCATCTGCTTCCAAAAGTGAGTAACACTTCTTCCATGAGAAATCAGAAAGCATGAATTTCCCACAATTTGGTCTTTGGAAGACATTTTCTGATCGGGTTTTGATTTACTCTGTTATTACTGAGTTAAACTTGACGTAGCCACATGAAATTACTCACAGCTGTGCGCCTTGCCAAATCAGGGTGTTCTTGATAAAAATTCTTCTCAAATTTGGGCAGCTCATCAAGATTCCACTTCTTTTTAACTAGTTTCTCCCCAGGGTTTCCAAACTTCTTTCCCGATAGAGGCCCTGCTCTACTTCCTCCAAATCGAGGCGCACCAAACCTGAAATTAAAACACAACCTTATACTTCCAAACGTCTACATAGCGGTTTATAAACACACTACCTTACCATTTCTTGGCACACCCTAAAGACCGACAAAAAGACTTCTGGAAGCATTACAGTATGTCGCTGTCCTTAGTGATTATTCTCCAACCAGCAATGAGCACCTCGGGTTTCCTTTCCCATTGTCCCAAATATACACTATTAAAGTCAACGAAGCTAATAGCCCAGGATTTATCAGGTCGGAAACCGGCTGTTCAAAGGCCAAAAGCTTTGATTACATGCACAACCGCTCGAGGATACCCGTCTTGCCCACAAGGTTAGAAATTAAGTATCTGGGAGAAGAACAATACGAGAAGGGAGGAGCTTAACAGCGATGTTATTTACCAGCTGTTTTCAAGCCAAGGCGCCTTAATTTTAATGGCTAACGGGCAGCACAGGCCTTGACAGCAGAAAAAGCACGGTAGTGGTCTTGGGGACACTTAAGCAAACCGATCGAGTGGGAGGAATCCCGAGGCAGGGCGCCGGATCAAGGTAACAAAATTACATAAAGTACGGAAAAGGAGGAGGAGCTGGCAACTACCGGGGGAGGAGTCCCTGCCCGGGCGGAGTCGGCCGGGCGGCGTTCCTGCTGGGGCGGCGCTTCCCCCTTTGTCTCGCATTTCTCTCTGCGCCACATTTTCTCGACGCTGCCATTTTGAGCTCCTCCGCCGGGCGGGGTAACAAAGGCGCCGCCATGTCCGAGAGCGGCATTTTGTACCTGCGGCTCAGCCACATGGCCGATTCCTGTGGCGCCGGCCACCCCCCCGCCGTCCCGACCTCATCAATAGCATTGGAGGCGGCCCTCTCGGCTCCCACAGAATTACCGGGGCCCTTACAGCACCTCTCCAGAGATAGCTCCTAACAGCGGCGACTTCACCTGCCTCGAAGTTTTCCTATCCTTGCAATGCATCCCTCCGAATTTTCCCCCCAGTTAAGTCGCCGAGGTCCCGAAGCCTTCTCCCAAACAAAAGATGAGGTTAAAAGAAAAATCTGCCAATTTTAGACAAATATCGAAATAGCGCAAACCTTTAACAGAGAAGACCCAAAAATAGACTGAAAAACTAGGTTCCCATCGCCACCAACCCCTCCTTATCTCATAGGCCTCCCATCCCCCACCCGCCAGGCCTGACAGGTTCGTTTTCACTCACCCTCGATCCCGGCCGCGGTCTCGGTCACTCGAATAACCCGACATGGCGTCAATGATTGCGGTTGAAGGGGAAAGAAGAGGAGAGAATCGGGTGCGACGAGTCGCTGGAGATGGCCTCGGCGACAGCGAAGCCTTGCGGGGGCGGCAGCGGCGGAGTGACGGTGACAAGAAAGCGAGCAGCTCCCCTACAGACCGGTGGAAATGAATGAGGTGCCGGCCGCGTCCCGGCTGCCGGTTTTATAGCCTGGACCGCCTCCTCCGCCGCAGAGAATGCTGGGAGCTGCTCTATGACCTAATCACCCCGCCCCTGCGCAGAGGCCGCAACGCCCGCCGACATTCCGGAATCCGCCATGTTCCCGCCCCTGCCCCCACCCGCGACCCCTCCCTCAGATTCGCCCGTTTTTTGCCCATTTCATGGTTGGGCCCACCCACCACCACAGTGCCTCAGCCTGCACTCTCTTGACTTCACCTTGTTCTCGTCTTTCCACAATTCGAGGAAGCTACCCCACCCTTTTTTAGGTCCAACCTAGGCGATAAAATGGCCAAGACCGGATAACCTACTCAAACCACTTGAAGTTGTTTACGTCTTACAAAGAGCCTTCCGCCCAGAACCAAACGAGACAAGAAGGCGGAGCCTGGCTTGTCGCGTGGCTGCCCCGCCCACCGGGTGAGCCGGCCGCACTACTTTCTCAGTTGATGTCGGCGGAGGAATACAAAGCGAAAAGCTCACGGGAAGCTCCGTGCTGATGCCACGGGAGACCGGCGGGGGCTGCTGGCTGACCCACACTGTCAAATCCACACACTTGACAATGCCTTAGCACGATCTTGCCGGAGACTAGTGTCTAAAGCCCCCAAACCGCCGCCTCGGCTCGAGCTCCGTAAGGAAGTGCTCTGATGACCAATCAGCAGCGAGAATCCGTTTTAACATTCCTCCCTCTCACCCCTCCTTTCCTGCATTTTCGTTTAATTCCCCCTCCTCTCTGCTGTGGTGTCTGCGCGGAACGGCCCTTCCAGGACACCGTCCCCAGCGCGCCCAGCTCGGAGTCCGGCGGCGACCTGCCTCGGCGACATGGCTGGAGCCGAGGCTGGTGAGTGTCGGCCTGCAGCCCGGTTGTGTGTAGACTGAAGCCTTTTAAGTCCTCGACTCCCCCCATCCCCGCCCGTTTTATCTTGAGACCTCCGGCAGCCTCAGCTAAATATGGCTTGTGACAGATACTCCGTCATAGTGGGCGGGTTCTCTGGATGGGGTCTTGTCGCCCAGCTCTCTTTCCGATGGGAGGCCATCGAGTGCGATTTTGGGATGGGGGAGAGAAGGCCCTGCGACTAGGCCTGTAGTACGCCCCCATCTTGGCCGCAAAAGGCAGTCGGGAAGTTTCTTCCCGGGACTGGTATCTATCTAGCTATTGTCAAGGTGCTCTGCTCTAGCATTGTGGGGATTGAGGTTGTACATGCATTTGAACTTTTGAGGAATGACATTCTTAAGATCTGTTGATGCCCCGCCAAAGTATTGGTAACGAATTTTTCTCTTCAGTGCCCTCTAGAGAAACCGGCTTTGTCTAGCATCAGTTTTGAAAAGCGAATTGATTTGGTTGTCTAGGACGCTTTCATCCTTTTCCCCAGGGCAGCATTCAAACTAATTGTCACGGTTGGGTCACCTGTGAGAAATGGATACGGTGAGGGGTGGGGAGAGGGAGATAAGGTGCATTGAAGAGACGCGCACACACTTTGTTTCTGGGAAAGGGGATAGAATGTGCCTTCAACATACAATCACACATGTCTAGAACATATTGAAGGTACTCGAATACAGAATAGAAGAACTTTCCCTTTAATCACCAATCACTTTAGGGAACATATGTTTCAAGATAGGCTAATTGCAACAAAATGGGCACGAGAAACCTAAATAGTATTGGTAATGTGATCATTCTGAATTTAGGAACTTATTGTATTTTCCATATACTCTCTAATATAACCAAGTTAAAAAAAAAAAAAAGCTAAATAGGCCCTGGCTGGTGTAGCTAAGTGGACTGAGTGCAGGTCTGTGAACCAAAGTATCACCAGTTCGATTCCCAGTCAGAGCACACACCTGGGTTGCAGGCCATGTAGGGGGCACGCGAGAGGCAACCACACATTAATGTTTCATTCCCCCTTTCTCCCTCTCTTTCCCTCTCTCTAAAAATAAATAAAACCTTTAAAACATAAAAATAAATAGTGCACTAGTGTTGGTATCATTATTCCAATTCTGTAATAGCCTAAGTTAATCACCACTTAATTTGGGCACCAGAGAAATTATGACTTGCACAAGATAATTGGGTAAAAACATGACTAATGCTACTGGGAATTTGAAGCAACATCCATTAATTAGTTTTTAGTAGCCTCAGAATATCATTAACAAGCCACCTTGTTTGGGACATAATATTCCTGTTTACTTATAAATATGTTCTAAATAAAAACTTGTAAAATAAGAACTTCAGTAAATAACTTCAGATTTTAGGTTACAGCAGTGAAAATTGGATTTGCATCATATTTTTTACTGCACTGGAATTATAGGAGGCTGGAAGACATTCCAAGAAATTAAGTAGATCATTTTGAAAATGATGCCTAGGAGGGCCTTTGAAATTCTATCATAATCAATTCCTTATCTTCTACAGAGTTCAGTGTCTGTTTTGTGAGGTTTTTTTTTTCCTAATGTATGTATGACTTTTTCTAGTGCTATTTAATATTTAAGGCTGAACTTGTTCCCCTTGTTTCCCAACAGAGTGGGTAACTGTTGCCAATAACCTTCTCCTGAAATGTCACATACACCTGAGGATACATGAACTAGAAGAATGTGATGCTAATGTATTTATTGCACTTTATCAATCCATTTTGGGAGAAAAAGTACCAGGTAAAGGTGTTAAAAAGTGGGAGTAATAATATTTATACCTTAAGCCAGAAGTTACCAGTGCCTTTAGTTAGAGCGTGGGGTATTTATAAAATCTTGAGTTTTCTCTTTGTCTACATCTTATTTTAAATTATTGGATTCACTTCTTTAATGAATACCTTATGAGACTAAGCCATAATAACTGCCTTGGTCAAATCAGTTTGACTAGTCTTAGTCATGACTGTTTAATCATGCTAAATGCCTTGTGAAAGTCATACCTTTATGTGAATGTACCTCCAAAAGTTCTAAAATTGAGTGGAACTTAGAAACTTGTCAGGTCCTCTTACTTAACCAATGTTACAGGTAAGAATTAGAGTTTGTATTGTATCCCTGGACATTCAGTAACCCTCCTTTCACACCTGTGTAGGTTTTTTTCTCTCGTGGAAAGCAACCCACAATTATTGCTTCAAGTCTCACCTCATCTCCTTGAATTTAGGGACCTCTTTATCTTCTTTTAGCATGGTGCTTAATGTAGAGCATGTTCATATATTTATTCAACTATATTCAGTCAATAAATATGCAACCAATAAAGATTCTGCTGTCTGGAATTCAGGCTCTATTAACTTTATTTGTACTTTTAAAAACCTGTTCTGTTTGGACAGAGCTTACTTTTGTAGCAGCTGACTTACTCAGAAGCCTGGTCAGAGATAGACAGCTGAAAACTTGGACCCTCATAGATGCAAAGTTATGTAGCCTTTTTTCCACAGACCTCATAGCTATTCCCAGAAGTCAAGAGGATGAAGCTCACAATGTCCAAGCAGTAATTGATTCTCTGGCCTTGGATTACCTGCAGGTCAGCTTGTCTCACATAACAGGTTGGTATATACTTAACCATCAGATAATTTTGCATTTCACTCACATAACTTATTAGGCAGAACCCTAGACATTTTTAGCCAAATGAGTAATCTTATGAAGTAGACCAAATGGCAAGATTGAGCCAAGACAGTTGACTGGGTATAATAAAGGCAGCCACCCTTAAAAGGTTTTCCAGGAGAGAGTTAAATATTAAATTTATAATGGATCTGGGTCAGAGTCCTAGCTGATAGTTTGAAATGTGATTTTTTTCTTTTATTGTTATTTTAAAGCTATCATGCTGCTTATTTGTAGTAGCTAAAAATTAGAAACATCTAAACATCCATTAATGGCATCAGGTTAAATAAATTATGGTAGCTGCATAGAGGGAACGACGCTGCAGCTGCAAAAGGTCATTGATGATGCTTTTCATGTACAATGTTCCACGTTAGTGAAACAATCTCCAATGTATATTGGGTGAGGAGAACGTGTACTTCCAATGGTAATGTGCAGAGTATGCTACCATTTGTAAATACAAAGGTAGAGAGAATGTATGATGTATATACAAATGATTTCATGCAGAAGGACTTTCTTCTAGATTGTATGAGCTACTAGACTCTAGAAGTTCCCAGACTCTAGAAGCTTATACAAGAAACCTGTAATACTGATTACATCCAATAAGAAGAACTTAAGAGCTGCAAGACAAGGGAGAAATGAGACTTTCCATGGTTTTTCATTGTATACCTTTTGTACTTTTTGAATATTGAATCATGTGACTATGTTACCTATTCAAAATAAATAAAACTGTAAATTGTTTTTGAACCTTTTCCAAAATAGAGTAAATTATTTCCAGCTAACGAACAGAGGGAATCTTGGAGACTTGAAACTGTTTTTAAATCACTAAGACAAGGTTTATACTGTTGATCTATTCTTTGACAGTAGTTAAAGGAAGTACATGTTAATTAGGGTAGGTCATTTACTAATTTTAGTTTGATATTGACAAGAACAAATTTTTGCAAAAATAGTGTCTTAAGATTTTGAGTATGGTTCTAGTTAAGTAAATGTGGTAAATTATTTTGGAGATTATTCATTTTGAGGAATAATCCTGGGGTTGTCTCCCCGCTACCCTGTTCCTTTGCAGTTTAGAATTGTTTTATCACTGGTGCAGGGCGATTTCTGGTATTTGCACTTTTTAAACATATTATAGTAAGGTCATATCTGCTTATAGAACTTTTTGTAGAGCTTCCCTTGATAATTCACACCTATCCCATGAAAAGTTGCAAAACTGCTTACCTTGTCCAGTAGCCTGTAAAACAGCTTTTTACTCTTGTGTTTTATTTAAATCAGCTTCTCCTACACTATGAAGCACTCCATTCTGGCAGGCAGTCTTAGTTGCTGGGTTGGCAGAGTGTGCTCCCTATCCTGGAAAGCAAAGTCCTGAGTATGCCCTTGGGTATGGCCTTGAGTATATCTTGTTAAGCCAGAAAAACATAAAGCTTAAAAACAGATTTCTATTTAGTTTAAACACAAAAAATCTGTCAAACATTGTTGGACTAGTAGCAGTGCAAAACATTAAATTTCTGGTTTAGGTTTGTTTTGCATCATGACTAAAATTATAAATGGCTAGGTTCCCTTAAAGATCAAGTTTTTACTCTGCTTGTCCCTTGAGTTTCTCAAGAATTAAGTTTGTTTATATCTGTTGATCGGAGTCTTATTTTATGGGACATTTAACATGTCAAGTTTCCATGCTTTTACAAACCCATTACATGTCAGTATTTAACTTAACATTTATTAAAAATCTGTTACGGACCAGGTGGTGTGCTAGGTAGTGTTTAAAGGTTAATTTCTGGGCATAAAGGGAATGTGGGGGGGGAGATGAA